AAAGCAGTGCCTTGCACTCTAGCCCATGATAATTGATAGTTGACATACTTCTTAATGATTTCTGTGCACCATGCACTTCTCTAAGCCCCTTACAACCTTTCACTCACCTATCCTCATAACACAAGCTTTCAAAACCCAATGGATGAGTGGTAAATGAAAATAGTGTCTCATGTTTTCACTAAAATCTCAGAAAAAAATATGTCCAATAATTTACTGACTCCACACAGCTTAAAAAGATAAATATAAATAGTGTACACAAATGATGATATGGTAAAAGCAACATTTATTTGGATTGATTCTTAGCGATGTATCATAATATTAAGTTAGTTTTGATATTTAATTCACACTAGGTATTATTACTCAGAAGAAGCCACCTGTGGAGATTATAGATTTCAACCATCATTCAAGTCTTGTGTATTCTGTTGTAACTCAATTACGTGAAATAAAAAGATTCTGAGGTTAGTTTGGGAAATCATTAGTTATATATCAGTGTCAGTGGATGATGGCAGTACTTTCTGGTTTTGTCTTATTCTCTTTTTGAACTATTGAATTTTTCAGTGTTCCCAATATGATAGTCTGCATTGTGGAATATGAAGCTCTCTTTTACGTAGAACTCCTGTTGGTAGTAGAATCCCACGAACCTCTGTGCTTTCCTAGTTGGATTTGGGGTCTGTGCCACAGATACTGGGCCAGATGAGTAACTTAGGGATTCTTGGGGGATAAAAGCATTTGGAAGGAGGGCAGCCACCATTGTTTGTACCTCTCTAATTTTAGGAATTTTACCAACTTACCAAGATATTTACTACAATTATGTTCAAAGTAGAGTCCGTTAGCTAGTAATTTTATAAATGCCAACCACTAAATTAATATCATTGATTATCAAGAGTCTATTCATTTATGAGAATTAAACCATATGTAGAGCTTTATTTTTTAAAGCTAATTTTTATAGCATCCCTGTTTGTCTCTTCAAATAAAACAAACTATTATACAAGCTATTATACAAATATATTATGCAACTGTGATTAATTTTAGGCTTATGGTTATAAGTGGCGTTAAGCCTATGTGGGCATAAGCATTAATCAAAATTATTATAATCTTAATTAAATATATAATCTGATTTAAGAATTTGACTTAAAATATTTCTCTCTCTCTCTCTCTCTCTCTCTCATATATATATAAGCAGTGTTTGTGGTTAAACTATGAGTCAATCATTTGCCTAACAGTAGGTTACTAAAGTTGTGATTCACAAGTAATATTTTTAGGACTATAATTTGCTTGATCCAGGAAAAATTCATATAATCAAATATTAAAACATTTAAATAACAACGAAAAATACAAATGAGAGATTGATTTGCATTGTGTTAATAATTACTGGGAAATATATTGGCGTTAAGATCAAAATGTGTTAATTTCTATTATTTAGTTATTGTTTTATTTTCATTGAACAATTACTGTATATAGCCCCAGGTTCATAAAATATTCTTACTTAGAGTTTCTGTTACAAATGGTGGTTAGAGTCACAAGATAATACCCAATCCTATTTTTTTGAAATTTAACTAAATAAGTTAGCTTAAATCAGTATTGGGTCAAGCCTAGAACAAAGTTTGGAATAAATGAATCTTCTCTTCTTGTGGGTTTTTTTTTTTTTTTTTAAATCCCTTATGCAGACCTGGAGTTACTGTCCTGCTAGGGGTTCTCTGTTACCTGATGTCCTTTGGTTTGGATGTAGAGCTTGACCTGTTTAATCTTCCTGCCCAACTTCCACAGGGCTTGTTTGCCTCTTAAAACCTGCAATTTTCATAGGCCTTGACTTCCAGCTTCTTTTCCATCTGAGTGTTATGGCAGGACCAAAACAGTGCACCTTAGACCTTCCCCTGATGGTAATGCCTGTTACAGCTTCTCCCTTTCTATTACCTTGACTGATGTAAAATTTAATAATAGTATTGTTATCCTGACTTACGGGTTTCTTGGACATGGCCTCTTTCTTAGTTTCTGATATAAAGAGGTATTTTATTATGAACCAGGCGTGGGCTCACTTGCCTACCTTGGGTGAGGCCCTGAATTTGATCCCTATCACAACCAAGAAGAAAAGAAAATTAAATTAATGCTAAGTTATGAATACATGCAGTCTAAATTTAATATATCATTATTTCATGCTATCCTATGAAGAACATAGGTGGTGGAAGGGATAAAAGCAAAATGTTTTTAAAAAGTAGGTTTCTTTTCCTGTTGTTTGTTTACATCCATCACAATGACTTTTGCAGTTGTATTAAGTCACATTTCGAATTGGAAACTTGTTATTCATCTTCCTATTCCCTGCCCCTAGCCAACTGTCCAGAAATAACAGATTTTCAGTATTTATTAAATAGAATTGAGTTTTTAAAAACAAAAATATTTGTTTATCTTCTGACGGTCTTTCTTGTTCTGAAATTCTGATGTTTGTGGTGAAAAACAGATACAAGTGAGTACCCTGTGGCATGTGAAGGCTGGGCCTGAGTTGTAGGGTTCTTACCACTCCTAGTGCTCACCTTATAGGGAGTCCTTAGGGAAGATGACCAGGTGGTGGATGCTGAAGAGAAGAGGTTTTTGAGACTTGATTAGATAATCATTTATTGAGTAAAAAATTCATTAGATGTATCTTTAGTTGACATATTAAGTTAGTTTTTAAAGAATATCACAATGCGTGGGACATGTCAACCTGAGTCACATCTGTAGTAGTCACTAGTAATCAGAGTGTTGTTTTGTAATTACGTGTATCAATGGTGTCTTTCAAACTCCCCAAGCCAAAGTAATGTTTCCTCTGTTGCCTTCTGCAGTAAGTGACTGAACCAAATGGAAGTGCAGCTAGGATGATGAAGGATACATATCTCAGGCTGTGAACATATTATTTTAGTGTCTGATAACCATCATTTAGCTCCATAATTAATCCTAACCATTAACACATGTCTGCAAACTTCTGTCTTCAAATTGTTCCTGAAGAAATCCTGTAAATATTTTCACTATTCTATATTGTGAATAAATCATTTAAATTCTGAATATAGAGGTATTTGGAATTGTTATTTTCCTAAATTTGGTATGATATTCTACATCTTCAATGATCAGTTTAAAAAGAAAACACACTTTTGGTGAGATGATTCCTGTTTATAATGACATATTTGACTGAATATCTCACTTCTCCAAGTTTAACCAACATAAGGATTTTTTGTCTATTTCATTTGGTATGTAATCATATGTCCCCTAATAAGTTCATGTTTAAGTTTTTTATATACCTGTATCATAATATTAAAAATAATATTTTTGAACAGGTTTATGTAAATATTATTGACTGTCATGTACTTAAGATGGGGGTGGTGTAATCTATTCATAGAGCTAGTTCTGAATGATTGTAGGATATAAATTTGCTTGTTTGAAACTTCGAGGTATCAAAACTCAATGATCATTGTCATAAACCTGAATCATCTCCTATGTGAGCCTCATTCTAAACTATGGAATAATGTCATATTTTTGGAAAGGGAGAGGGGGTTCAAGTCAAAGGAGAGGCAGGAATGTTATTAAGGTAAACCCTTATTTAGGTTTTAATAATTAGTCTTTATATTATTATTTACTAGCTAAGTAGATTCAGTATGCAGGCAGGAAAGTGGATGTTGCCTGTATTTAGAGATGCCCTTAGCATATATTTTAAAATATTGTATGTATTATTAGCCAGTAGTGTAAGTGTAATATGACTGATAAATGTAGCTTCCTTTAAATTGAAGGGAGATCGGTAGTGTAGAGGAAAGAGACCAGGGGGAGAGAGAAGGGAAGGAAAATGGGAAATGCTGGGGAATTATATTGGCTAAATTGTATTGTTATGTTGTGTACATATACAGATTTGTAACAGCAAATTCCACCGTTATGTACAACCATACTACATCAACAAAATATGTGGAAAATCAAAGACAACAGTAAAAATAATTGATAGTTTTGTACAATGGTACATACCTGTAATCCTAGTGACATGAAGTGTGAAGCAGGAGGATTGAAAGTTCAAGGCTGGCCTCAGTAACTTATAGAAACACTGTCTCAAGATAAACAAAAGCACTGGGTCTGTAGGTCACTGGTAAAGTCCCCCTGGGATCAATCCCTAGTACTCTCCCCAAACAAAATAAAACACAAAATGCAGCAGTAATAACTGATAAGAGTGTAAGATTCTTGTAAGAGGGTAATGTTTTCTTCCAGTCTCACTGAGTAGCACATAGTACTAGAAAACAGTTCCTGTAAAGATCTGTTGAATGAACGAATGTGTGAATGTTTTCTTTTAAAATTCATTTTCTCTGATTTATGTGGTGTGGACCAAGCACCTGAAGAATCTGTTTCTATTTTTGTTTAAACATGAACAAGTAGAAAGTTTTATTTATGTTTATGTGTATAGATAGAATTGAGAAATTATGGATGATATTTACCCAAGTTCTTTGGTCTTTTCTCTGTTGTCCTCCCTGGAGCCCAGTATAGTGTATGACAGTACATTTTATTGATTTTAAGATGCTTGTTTTGTTTTTCTGTTTGTTTTTAACTTTTAACTCATTTGGGCATAAGAGAACCTCAAATCTGTTTTCTTATCTAAGCTGTTTCTTGCCACAAAATTGCATTAGTGATTGCTAATAAATAGTAGTAGACTAATTTGCTCATTGATTTGTAGCTTGAAAATTGTACTTTACTAAATTAAATGTTTACCAAGTTGATCTTAATCACAAAACCACCTATTTAAGTAAGCATTGAGTTTAATATTATTTAAGGTTCTCTGTATGCCCACAACTTTAAAAATTTATTTTATGATTTTTGGCTAAAAAAAAACCCAAAAAACAGTGTTTAGTAATTTGCAAACTTGAAAAATGAAAGATCTTCCCTAATAACATTTTTGGCTCAATAATCTGGAACAGAATAAAGTATTATAATTTTAAATGTCTTCTTAGAACTCTTGATTCAAATTGTAATCCTAGTTTTTCCTGCTCCTTCCATAGCTTCCTGCAGATTTCACAAAACTACACCTTACTGACAGTCTCCACCCACAGGTGACCCACGTTTCCTCTAGCCATTCAGGATGTAGCATCACAAGTGACTCTGGAAGCAGTAGTCTTTCTGATATTTACCAGGTGAGTGGGCATATTCCTTATCATTTGCTTTACTTTCATCTGGTCTAAGGAGTTCTGTGATTCTCAGTTGATGTAATTTATAAAGTAAGTGTATATGTGTGTATTACGTGCATGTATGTATATAAAATATTGATGTTTATGCTTCACACAGACATACAGTGTGTTTCAGGAAGCAGAGCTACTGTCAAATTGTACTGGCCTGTGTTATTACCAGTTATCAGAATTTTAAATGAGCAAAGGAGTTTTTTCTCTTGAAAAATGTTTTATTTGACTGTACATGTAGGTTTATGACTCTTACTTGATTTAGAAACTGCAGAATTGTGCTTTTATAAGTAAGTTTTTTTCTCATTAAAGTCTTATAAAGTATGACAAAAGTAAAGGATTAGTTAAGATCATATCATTGGATTATATTTTTAAAAAATAGCCTACGGAATTTTTTATGTGTTCAAAATAAATTCTTTGCTATTGTTGGATAGAAAAAAATTAGAACTATGAGACTTATAAGGTATCTTAAGGCCAAATAATTTTCATTGGTGAAGAATTGTTCATTGGCAGCCGGGTGTGGTGGTGCATGCTTGTAATCCCAGCGACTCTTGGGAGGCTAAGGCAGGAGGATCACAAGTTCAAAGCTAGCCTCAGCAATTTTGCAAGGTCCTAAGCAACGCAGAGAGGCCCTATCTCAAAAAAATTAAAAAATCATTGGCTTATAATATGTAAATTTTGGAAAATGATCAAAATATAAAGAAAATAAAGACCATTTGGGGAACTTTTGAATACATACTATTAATATTGGATTTTAGATGGTTTCAAACAATAAGACTATTTTACTAACTTTACCAAGTATAATTCTTGGTTCTATAGGTGTTGTCCTGTGAATTGACCATAAAAGGTAACTTTCTGAATATTATAGTTGTTTGGAATTATTGACATATTCAGGCAGTGCTACTTTTTTTATTACTAAAAATAAGTAAACAATTAGAATACTACATATGAGACATTGAAGTCCTAAATTTAGTAGATCTTAGAAAATAAATTTTCTTTTAAATATTGGGTGCATGCTTTCTATAATTTCATAGCATTATAGAGAGTTGATTAGTAATTTTATATTTTAAACAGCACCAAATGCATTTTTTTAAAAAAAAGTTTTGTTAGCCACAAATGCAATCATTTGTAAATTCTTATGATTAGAATTTCTTTATTATTTTGCAATAAGAAATATAATTTTGGGGCTGGGGATGTGGCTCAAGTGGTAGTGCACTTGCCTTACATGTGTGAGGCACTGGGTTTGATCCTCAGCACCACATAAAAATAAAAATATTGTGTCCACCTAAAAAACTAAAAAAAAAAAAAAAAAAAGAAGAAGAAAAGAAATATAATCTTTGCCTCTTTAAAGTGACTTTGCAAATTTCTACTTTGATCCATAAAATGTCAGTTTGTCATTAACTCATTAGGAGGTAATTCCACTTCAAATCTTAGAGAAGGCATTGTATCAGGGCAAATCTACCTCACACATGTTTCTGGAAGGAGATTTTAAGAAATCATTTATTCAAAGTTCCCTTATATAATGAACAATATGAGTACATTAGCTTATATCAACTGAGATACCATGGTAGAATCCTTGTCCTTAAAACTTTGAGATGGTTCTTATATAGTTTAAAGATATATAGTGTGAATATAATTGAAGCTATAGCAGTTATCACCATCACTGTTCTCTGCAAATATATGCAAAGTTTAGCAAAATCCCTAGAACAAGGATTTATAAGAATATGGTATCTTTTTATATAATTTATTGGGAGCATATTCTGAGGGAAATTCTAGTCTTCCGTGTTGTCCCTTTGAGTAGTTTAGATAAATTCATGAAGGAATTCTTGATGATATTTCTGCTTTCCTAGCTATCATCAGAATGTCTGAACAAGAACATAGGTGTGAGTTCACATTAGACATTGATCTGATATAGTTGGAGCTTGCAGCCTAAATTCTGAACTGGTTACAGAGGAAGAAGAGGATCCCTGTACTTCAATTTGATTCATTTAGTTGAGTTGAAGGCTATTCCTTTTTTACTTGATGCTTCTAAAGGAAAAATCCAGCAGGTCATGGTGGCACATGCCTGTGATCCCAGTGGCTTGGGAGGCTGAGGCAGGAGGATCACAAGTTCAAAGCCAGATCTCAGCAACTCAGCAAGGCCTTAAGCAACTAGGAGACCCTGTCTCAAAACATAAAAAGGGCAGAGGATATGGCTCAGTGGTTAAGTGGCCCTGGTTTCATAATCCTTGGTACCAGAAAAGGATATAAAAGAAAAAAATCCATACGTATATCTAAATATGCAGTTATTAACTATGCAACACTTAGCCTTTGATAGTGATACTTAATAGACAATTTCTGTTATCCTCAATTCAGAAATTCTTAAGATGAGAAGTTTTATACTTGGTTCCACTTCCAATCTCAAATTTGAATCGTTTACTAATTTACTATCAGTCAAGCATCCAATCTGTTCTTGAATAATTCCAGGGATGAAAAACTATCTCCTGTGTACAATTCTGACCTAGGATTCTTTGGGCACATAGAGATTGAAATTGAACACTAGGTACAGGAAAGAAAAGAGTAGAATATTGCCGACAATGAGAGTAGCAGAATTCAAGATTCAAGGGGATAGGAATGGCATCAGAATACAACAGACACTAGTATGGCAGTATGTATAAACGTGGATGTGTAACCAATGTGATTCTGCAATCTGTACACGTGGTAAAACTGGGAGTTCATAACCCACTTGAATCAAATGTATGAAATATGATATGTCAAGAGCATTGTAATGTTTTGAGCAACCAATTAAAAAAAGAAGAAGAAGAAAGTGAGATGACCAGGGAGTAGCCTTAGGAGAAGAAATGCCTGTTTTAACAAGGACACATCCTGATGGGTTTGCAGTAGGGAGTTTGGGAATTGAGGGAGTCCTTGTCTTACAATTTCTGTTTTCTCTCTGAAGAGTTCATTTGTTGAGAGTGAGAAGGTTGCCTAGTTGAATGACAACTTCAAGAAAGCACCAGCTCATTGGTCTTGTCTCCGTTTTTTTCCTCCACAGCCTAGTAGAGTGCCAGGAAATTGTAGGCATTTAGTAAAGTTGTGTTCGGTGAATATAATTGAAATAATAGACTAGGGGATATAAGCTGGATATGAAAGGAAATTAAGAGAGATGTGAAACTTGGGCATAGACGATAGTAAATAGTCTTAAAAAGACTGAAGGCCCTGCGTAAGTTGAGAGAGGGTTACCTTAGAGGCTGAAAGAATAGGAGATTGGGGGTAGAAAGCGGAGTGCCTCTTGGTGATGTGAGACAGTGCCATTTCCAGACATGATTAAATAGTTTAATGGTGTGACTATCAGTGAGTGGCTTAGGTGGACTGAAAATATTTGTACAAAAATAGATCCATAGAACAGAGTTTAAGCAAACTGGAACTTATATAATGATGCAATATATAGTGCAGGAAACAATAACAGAGAAAATGGTGGATTATTTAATGTCACATTTTGGGTGGGGGTTATATTCTCCTTTTATGTCATAATTAAGATAAATTCCACATAAACTAGGGAGTTAGCAAATTCTTAATGTTATAATGATCAGAACATTTTAGTAATTAAATGATCAACTGAGACAAAGATTTAGTCAGAATGTAAGTAATTTATGCAACTTAATAAGAAAAATGCTTAATTTATAACATAAAAGTAAACATTCAAAGTACAGAAGTAAATGATTTATAGAAGAGAAAATAGAAATCTTCGTATCTTAAAATATTTAGAAATTTTGTACCTTAAAATATTTTAAATATGTTAGTAATTGACTAGAAAAGGACTTAAGTATGAAATATGACACTATTTTGCCTATGAAGTAAACACAGATTTTCTTACGTAAGTGTTTACTTTTACACAGTTATGATGGGATTGTAGTTTTAGGAAAGCAATCTAGCAGTTTACATTGAGAACTATAAAAAATTGTCTTTTTATGTTGGCCAAATTATATTGTTATATTGTATGCCAGTATGAATATACATATATAATATATCAATAAAAAGTATGGAATTTCTTTCTTTTTTAGACTTGAATTTTTGAAAGACAATGTTGAAGTGAAAAAGAATGATGGTATTAAATTTGGAAAAATGTAAATTTGATACACAAACTAGGGTTAATAGAAACATGTTTATTCCTAAATATATTTTTGTACTTTCCACATATATGTATGTTATGTTCCTACTCACTTTATTGTCACTTAACTTAGCATCAACATTAGCATTCAGTATAACTTCCTAGCCTAAATTTGTATCAGGATCTGGCTTAAGAGCTAGTGGGTTAAATATATATGTTTGGAATTCTGTACAAAATTTATTTATATCAAGGGTACTTACTAAGCAACCCTTTTATATATGACAATATGTGTGACATATTTAATAAAGATATTTTTATAAAATAAAAGGTGTAGAATTTTACTTTTATTTTAGTTAAATTGACAGTTCACTAGAGCTGTATGGCATTTAAAATTTCCTGTTTGTTCTTTTTCTTGGTATTCTTTAAAAAATACCAATTAAAATGGTTTTAAGAACTATATTCACAATAACAGAATATATTTAATCTCTTTTGATTTATAAATAAGTCATAGGGCATTGAGCATCAATATGATAAAATTGTTACATTTTAAAGAATATTCCTACTTAAATACTAAAGGGCAACTAAAACTATGTTATAGACTATATATGTATAAAGTAAATTAATGTAGGACAGGAGTAACTTGCCTAACAAATACTGGTTTAGTCAGCTTTTTCACTGCTGTGACTAAAAGAACTGACCAGAACAATTTGTAGAGGAGGAAAAGTTTATTTGAGGGCTCACAGTCTCCATAGAAGGCTGGCTCCATCCCTTCAGGCTGAAAATCACAGCTGGAAAGTGTGGTAGAGGAAAGAAGCTCATATCATGATCAGAAAGCAGAGAGGATCCACTCTCCAGATGCAAAATATAGACCCCATAGTCATGTCCCAGTGAACCACTTCCTCTAGCCACACCCCACTAGTTTTTAGTTATCACTCAATCCCTAATTTGCTGATTAGGTTAAGGCTATAACCCAGTCGTTTCTTCTCCAAACCTTCTTGTATTGTCTCACATATGAGCTTTTGGGGGACACCACACCTAAACCAAAACAAATACATAAGCCTATTTATTGCAAATGCATATTTTTAAACATTATATTTCTGACTTAGCAAAGTGGAAAACATTTTGTTACTGCTTTATCTATTTTTTTTTATAAATACTATTAAGAAATCTGGGCATAGTGTTTAGTATTTTGTGTTGGTCAAATCTGACATTGAATCTTAGACAATTACTATGTATTGTTTACAGTTAGCAACTTACTAATTTCCTTGTGTTTTCTCATCTGTTAAGTAAGGGTAATAATATAACTTGCTGAATTGATATGAAGATTATCATATATTAAAAGCATCAAATTTAGGGCTAGATATGTGGTAGTCATTCAGTACATAATATTATATGAACCATTTGGCCAGAACTTAACATGTACATTTAATCAGAAAGAAATTTGTTTAGTGGGGGCTGCAGTTGTGGCACACTGGTAGAGTGCTTGTCTAGCATGTGTGAAGCACTGGGTTCAATCCTCAGCACAACATTAAAAAAAATAAAATAAAAAGTTAAAAAAAAGAAATTTATTTACAGGTACACAGGGAGTTGGTGTTTAACACTTTTTTTTTTGTCAAACTCTTCAAATATAAATTGTGCAGGGCTCATTGCTGATACAGAGAAATATAGAAAGTATGTAAGGGCTACAGAGAAAAATGTATTCCCTCTAGGATGATACTTATGATTTAAGCTATAACTAAAATTTTTTCTCCTTGTTGGATCTAAAATTGTCTTTTGAGTGGTGAGAAGCTATAGCTCCAGTTGACATGTAGGTTCATGGAGATTAGGTGACTTTGCTGAAATCACATAATGAATGGTACAGGCGAGAATTGGAACACTAAACTGAATTTCTTTGTTCCTTCAGCAAATATAAATTCAGTAAATACTGGGTTCCAGGATCTAGGAGTTTAGGCCTCTTCCCCTGGAGACCAGCTTTTGTTCCTTAACCTTTCAACTCTAGTTGGTCTCCAAACATCTTCTTGCCTTTCACAAAAATGGTGGTTGACATTAGTAGATTCCTGAAAAGTTGCTTATCAAGGTCTTTTAAAATGTATCATTTAGAGAATTCTATAATATTTTAAAATAAAATGGAAATTTTTTCTTAGCAAAAGCAGTTTTCTAAGTTTCTGGTTTAATAAATGTTATTTATGAATAGCTTGTTTGTTAAAGAATGGATTTAACCTTGGTCTGTTCCTCTCATGTTCCCCCTCCCTACCCCACTGTGAATCAGCCTTCTTAGATCAGAGAAAACATTTGGCATTTGTTTTTTTGGGATTGGCTAATTTCATTTAGCATTATTTTCTCTAACTCCATCCATTTACCTGCAAATGCCATGGTTTTATTCTCTTTTATTGCTGAGTAATATTCCATTGTGTATATATGCCACATTTTTTTTTTTTTATCCATTCATCTATTGAAGGGCGGGCATCTAGGTTGGTTCCACAGTTTAGCTGCTGTGAATTGTGCTGCTATAAACATTGATGTGACTGTGTCTCTGTAGTATGCTGTTTTTAAGTCTGTTGGATATAGACTGAGGAGAGTAGGATAGCTGGGTCAAGTGGTGGTTCCATTCCCAATTTCCCAAGAAATATCCATACTGCTTTCCATATTGGCTGTACCTTTTTCCCCACATCCTCTCCAACACTTATTATTGTTTGTCTTCATAATAGCTGCCATTTTTCTGCTGTCATATATAAATTTTAAAACTTAATTTAAAAAATAAGCTTAAAAAAACAAAGCCGGGAAAAAATGAAGCAAAACAATAAAATAATATTAAAAAACAAAGTATAAAATAAAGGAACATTTAAAATTAAATAAAAAAGAGAATGGATTTAGCAAACAACTATGTTCAAATGAAGTGGAAGGTTCACTTCGGAGAGATGAAAACAATTAACACTCCAAAGTTTAGTCACCAGCATGGATTAGAGGCATGACTTAATTTCATTTAAATAATAATGACTTCTTTGGGATGGCATAAGATATATATTTTTTTTTCATATTTTAGCATATGTTATCTGCTTTAAAATTAAACAACTTTTAGTTATTTCAAATATTAAAAACTTTTTTGTTTATTGCTTTTGTCAGTAGTGCCTCTTCTTCAGTCTGTTCTAATGTTAAAGAAGGAGTGTGTAGAGGACTGATAAAACTATAAGATAATGAGTAATAGAGTCTTCAAAGTTAAGTTGAAACTGGGGTGAAAATGTAATCATAGTAAGCAAGCATTAGTAGCTTCTTTTAGACTTCAGAAGTAAGATAGGGATAACAGTGATGCTGTCCTGGTTTCCCTGACCACAGCCTTGGCCCACAGCATCACTTCAAGTTCTACTACTTCAGTGTCTTTCTAGAATCTAGAGATAACTCTCTGAATTCCAAATTTAAATAAAGAGACAAGTTTCTGAGTGTGTCATAATTTAATTCCCCCTGCCTGGGCCACAGATGCCTCTTCTTCTATCTGAAACATCTCTCTGCTCACAATGGTCAGTAGCAAGAATGCCATTCTTTAATGGGCATTTGTAGACATTAGGTTTTCTGTCTTGAAGTATTTTTCACTTAGGTGTTTCTTATAAGAAAGCATGTATCTGAAGTTCAGGAAAACACACCTAAATAACTGCAAAAGTGATTAAAACTCTGTTACTCTTAAGAAAATTTTAGCAAGTGTGTATTGCTTCAAAATGTAGAACTAAATCTTATGTTCTGTGATATAAACCCAGACTTAAAAAGGTGAATCTTTGTTGATAAAACAACAACAAAAACAAAAAATAGCACAAGTCATTTTTTAAAATTATTGAGTTGAAATTATAGAAGGGCCTGGGGTTGTAGAATGCTTGCCTCGCATGCGTGAGACCCTGGGTTCGATCCTCAGCACCACATAAAAATAAACAAGCAAAAACAAAGATATTGTGTCCATCTACAGCTTAAAAAAATTATAGGAAAAGTGTATACATCCTTCTGTAAGCCACATTCATATATAATTAGGTTGTGCTTAAAACTCTGGAGTCAAATTCCTGGTTTTTCATCTTCATTCCACAATTTGTCAGTATCATTACCTTGAAAAAAAATAATCTCTCTTTACTTGAGTTTTCAGAGACTAATAAGACTTAGTGGCTTTTAATTCATGGGGTTGTTTTAAGGATTAAAAAAGTTAATACATGTATTGTGGTTAAAGCAGTGCTGTGGTACATTGTTAAGTATTCGGCATTTAGTCAATTATTGTTATCAGGGTTGATATTTTATATTTTAAAAACATCTTTATAAATTTTTTTCTGATTTTTTTAAGTTATTGATGGACCTTTATTTTTATTTATTCATTCATATGCGGTCCTGAGAATCAAACCCAGTGCCTTACACATTTTTTCTTAAAGCTTATTATTATCTTTAAAATCATACAGGCTTTGAATTGAAATTGGTAAGCTTTATGATACACATTTTCTACAAAGTTAACTTTACAATAAGATATTTTCCAGGGTTTAGTATTTTTGTTAGAAAAATACATTTGTGATGTTCAGGATTGATATAGATAACATTTAATTAAATTCATTCTCACTATATATAAGCATTTAGTGAATTTTATGTATATAATGTCAGTAAGACTCTGTGTGTGTGTGTGTGTGTGTGTGTTTAAGACGATTATAGATTGACCGGAAAAGATAATTGTTCTAGGCTTCAGATAGCTCAGCAGAATAGACCATCTTGAAATAAGTGACTCTGGTGACTAAGAAAATAATATTTAGGTGTTGGTGAATGTCTTCTTAAGATGACATTTGGTTGATACTGTAACCAGGTATGTTGATAACTGGGAAGACAGAATGTGTCATCTTTAGGCATATATCATCTCCTATACTGTTTATTGATGTAAACTTTGAGAGTAGTCATTTTAACTAATTGTTACTGTTTGATTTTTATCAAGTTACCTTTGACTTGTGGTTCATTTCTCCTTAAAAGGCTGTCTAAGAAGGGAAAATCAGTTTAGTCTACTTGGCATTTATAAATTCATATCAGTTCTTCTGAAGGAAAAAGTGTTCAGAATCAACAAATTGTCACCCTTTAGCTCATAGTTTAAACTGTTCTATTTGAAAAATGAAATGAAAACAAGCACCACTATTCTTTATTCTACTATGTTTCAAAGGTTGTGTGATAGCTCAGATAAGAAATACAAACTTCTGAGATGAAAAATCAGTCATCCTAACATTTTAGTATGAATGATTTTGTTAAAGTAGTTTTTTTATAGTGTTTGCACAAATCGTTGTTGAATGTTGAGTCCTTCTAACTTAGTTACAGAAAAATGAATACAACAAAACTATCTTGAACTATAATTGTTATTATCTCTTTGGGCCCCCAAAGATTGATTTACTTAAAATAGTTTTTAAAGTATTTTAAATGTTCGTTTTTAAGGCCACAGAAAGTGAGGCTGGTGATATGGACCTGAGTGGGTTGCCAGAAACAGCGGTGGATTCCGAGGACGATGATGATGAGGAAGATATTGAGAGGGCATCGGATCCACTGATGAGTAGGGACATTGTGAGAGACTGCCTGGAGAAGGACCCAATCGACAGGACAGATGATGATATTGGTAAGTGCAACCCACAAAATGAATCTAGGAGCAGTTAAAAACATTTAGAGGTAAAACTGATATAATAGAGTGCAAGTCTAGTGAGCTTTAAGAAGTCATTAATTTATGAATTTCCTTTGTATAAATGTTGGTAATGAATGCTTTTCCTTTGTATATACTGTATTTGTTCGGAAAAAAGAAAAAGTCAATGTTAGTCAATACCTTCAGAAGTCTACATATAATACTGTGATTGAAACTTCCTAGTAAAATCCTTCCATGTAACTTCTTTCATAGCTTAATTTATTACATACATGTACACACACACACACACACACACACACTCACACACACAGAGCTAAATTTGTCTTCCGGGTAGTATTATTTCCATTAGTTTTCTTCTAAGCACTATTTCTGTGTGTTGGTCGATGGAAGTTAGTAAATTTTCATGTCAGTGAATTTGCTTCTACTCTTGTTCCATGTGAAGGAAGTCTGAGTGGATGAGGATAGTATGTCAGGCTAGCAGGACATGCACTGTGAGGGTTAAGACTCTCTTTATATGCACCCTAGAATTAAAAGATCTAAGCGACTTTATACCTACCTTTCCACATGAGCAACAATCAGTTGTGTAAAAATGCCTTTGTATTTAAATATGCTCTGAACTCTGACTTTTTGCTTAGAATATTAAGAGTAAGAGCAACTTCTGTTGAGAGTCATCTCCCACTAGAGTTCTGGAATCCATAACCACCCTTGTCTAAGCCCAAATGATCTGTCTGTTCAACCACTTGCCCAACTCTTTGGGTCAATAAGTATTTGAAGAGAAATCTAAAGAACTGAGTCTGTGGGATTAGCTATAGGAAGGTGTGGGTATAAGTATGTGTGAGTAGCTTGTAGTATTACATGTTTTAGCGGGACAAACATGTTTATGGAAGAACTTTGACCATTTAAAATAGATATGAGATAGGGAATAAGAGGGATAAAAAATGGAAAACCAAATCCTTGAATTATTTATGTATAATTTAATTACAATCATTGATGGGAGTTGCTAAATCTCTGTAGATGAGCATCATATGGTCGTAATTATCCATCCATTCATGCAGCTAATGTGATAGAGCCTCTTCTGGGTGCTGAACATTTCCTAGCTCTGAGCAACTCCATAGTGAACAGTACAGAGAGGTCCTTGTTCTATGGAAGTCTGTTGGAGAGACAGAGCAAGTGAACAGGTCAAATACTGCAGATAGTGGTGAGTGCTGCGGAGGAGAATTTAGTGGAGGTGGAGGAATGAAGTGAGTTCTCAGATTCACCCACTGAAGACCAGGGGTGTGGTGTCCCTGTAATGTATCAGGAACCAATGTGGTCGTTTGATTTCTAGTATGTAAAACTGGCTTTTTAATACTTCTGTTCTTTGTCCTTAAAAACTTTATTTTGTTTTTTAAATTCTTGTATTGTACTTGAAAGAATGAAAATGGAAGTGTGTTCAATTAACCATCTTAATTCAGAACCCTTGCTTATAGTTTTTTTTTAATTAGATAGAATATTGCTTATGAATAGGTTCATTTGGTTGGAAGTCATCTTTTTGTAAGCAAATATATCTGCTCTATTTAATCTATTTTTTAAATAGCTGTGGAAGAAAATGCTGATTATTAAAATACGTGCAGGATGTCTGTTATCCCTGGAAATATAAGGCTTTCACTTTGTGTTTGAGAAGGCTTCTATCCCAGAATTCTGGAAAGCAAGAAGTGCTTATTCTTACAAATAAATGCAAAAATCATTTGCTTGCTTGTTTTCTTTTCTTTCTTTTTTGTGGGAGTGGGGGAGGGTACTGGGGATTGATTGAACTCAGGGACACTCAAGCACTGAGTCACATCCCCAGCCCTATTTTGTATTTTATTTAGAAACAGGGTATCATTGAGTTGCTTAACACCTCACTTTTGCTGAGGCTGGCTTTTAACCTTCTTTTTTTTGAAATTGGGTCTTGCTAAGTTTCCCAGGCTGGCGTTGAACTTGTGATCCTTTTGTCTCAGTCTCCTGAATAGAAGCAGGGATTAAAGACGTGTGCCACTGCTCCCAGCTATACTCAATTATTGAATTTTTTTAATACCATTTTATTTGTTTATTTGCTTATTTTTATGTGGTGCTGAGGATCAACTCCAGTCCCTTATACATGCTAGGCAAGCACTCTACTACTGAGCTACAGTTCTAGCCCCTGAACTTTTATTTTTTGTTTTGAGGGCTTGATATATTAAGGTAGAAGAAGAATGGCTTTGTTCTCTTTCAGACAATTCTTTTTCATCCTGCTTCATGTACCACCAAAACCTCTAGATATTAAAAAAAACCCCTTAACATTATTAAGACTTTTTAAAATACAGAATGGAATCAAGCAAATCAAGATAGGCTCATTTTCTGAATTGACTTCAGTTTCTGGTGTCTGTACTTTGATTTGTTTTTTCTTTGTGTTACAATGACTACTAACAAATTTTTTTAAAAGATTAATGGTTTTCATAAACAAGAACATCCCTATTCTAACAAATAGGATATGTTATAGTAGTATATCATTCTAATAGATTAGATATAATTCTAATCATTTTTTCTAAAAATATTGGAAAAGCAGCCCTGCCCCCTCCCCCATGGCTTCTCTGTTTTATTTGTTCTAGGGACTATCTTAGTACTCATCCCAAGTTCTTGGTTCTTGGCTACTTCATCCTAGTTTGTATAGTACTCATGGCATTATCCGAGTTTAGTCTGAGCTAAATGCTTAAATGGCCAAATGCTTTAAATTTATTATATTTTTAAATATCAGTGATAGAAAAATTATTTTTTAAAAATTGCTCCAATTCTCCACTATAGTTGTATAGACGAGTTTTCACAAAACCAGTGTTTGGATATTTTTGAATCCTTGAGAGCTTTAAAAACTATTCAGGTAAGCATTTATGTCATCTTGGTTTTTCTACTGAGTTTGAAGAACTATATACATCTACTATTATTAGATCTTTCCCATCTTTTTTATTCCTATCTTGTTATATTGTTTTAATGCCAATCACTGGTCATATGTCACAGATTGATTGCATGACCCACTAATAAAATAAGAACCTGTCAGAAACAAAAAACATGTTTATGCAAGGTACTTTAAAATCATTGTAGCAGACATTAGTGGAGATATTTCATGTGATCTGCCCACTTTTTCTTTTCTAGTCATATGTGGTAATTATTTGACTTCTGGTATTCTGAACATATCTTAAATTCAATTTCTTACATATAACTAACTTCTGGTCTCACATTTTCCTTAAACCCATTAACCTTTGCTTGCCCAAGAAAATTTATCAACTGCTAGGAGAGGAGAAAGGTGTGATCTACAGGTTATAAATGTGATAGCTTATGGTGAGGGATGAGGGATGACTGCTACAGAAATTAGGCTGGAAACACCAGAACTGTGATGTGCTGATCAGAGGACCATGACTTTTTCATTTGCTTCTATGTTCCAAATGAAAAGGTCAGTACAGTTGTAGAATAGTGATTCCAACCTTTCATATGGATAGATATAGGTCATCTCTTATAGTAGTATTCAGAATCTCTCTTCTGCTGTTCCTGGGAATAAATATATTTTATGGCATAACTCAGACACACCTACTTATTTTCAGAAATAAAACCCTTCACTAAACAGAATTTATTCTTTTTATGAGTGATGTGCTTTAATATTTTATCATCATCTTCTTTTTTTAATACTGGTTGCAACAGTAAATTCATTTTCTGACACACAAATCTAGGTCAGGTTGAAGAACACTGTCCTACTGGACAGAATGCCTGGGTGCCACTTATTATTATTCTCCTGATTTTCAGAGCCTTGTGTAATGCACCATATAGGAGGAGGGATGATGTAGAGTCTAGTCAGAATGTGACATTACCCAGCTGGGCAAGAGGAAACCACTCAGTCTGTCCTTCTGGAAATGTAATATTTTCATAGATTATATTTTTCTGTTTTACTTTTTCCCTAGCAGTTAGCAAAATACATCCAATAACATAAAATTTGTTGCTCAAACTTAACAGAAGGAATGTACAAAGTACAGTTAAATTGTGTTGGCAATAAGAAAAATGTAAAATTTTTATTTAGCTGAGAGGTCAAATGATACCATGACTATAATTATGACAACAATAGCAGTTATTTTTATTGAATATTTACTCTGTGACAAGTACTTTATCAATGCATTTGATTCTTACAGCTATTCATGAAGGTAGATATATTACAAATGTGAAAACTGTGTCTTAGGGAAATTTACCAACTTACCCAAAGTTAAGAGAACTAGGAAGAATTCAAATGTCATGACGTTTGTGCTCTTCACTACTATCCACAGAGTCCAGAGTCCTGAATCATGTTACTGCCACCTTCTAATTATATGTGTCTGAGCCTCAGTTTCTTCCCTATGAAATGAAAAAGAATACATGTACTTCACAGGGCCATGATGAAGAATGAGGAGAAAATCTAGTAGATAATTAGAAGAGCTACTTACTAATAGGAGAAGCATAACAAAGAATAGAGATCATAGGATTCGAGGGACTTTGAAATCATCTGCCTATACCAAAGTATAAGCTATTTCTCCACAGCATTGCCAGAGGAAGAATGATCAGACTTTTTCTTTTTTGCCCATCTGTGGCATAACAAATGGTATATCAGTTCTTGTTTCATTATATGTTGTAAATATTTAATTGATTATTTTTTTTATAGATTTGTCTGATCCACAGAAACTCTCCCTTGAAATATTTTTGAATTAAAGGTAGTTATTTTTGCTATTTTAAGCATCCACCTGACCAAAAAGGCATTAGAATGGAGTTGCACCTTACTAGAGAATTCTCAGAGCTTCATTTTATTTTGGCTGTAATAAGCCTTACTCAAGAAGATGACAGCTGGGTTTCAGTTGGAATTTCACATTTCAACTTTAGTTATTTCTTAAGTGCCTTTAGAGTTTGGGTTACAGCGCCATGTTCATGGTGACAGAAATCTTTATGTACCTACAGAAAATACGGTTTTTACTCAAGATACTTAAAATGAGTCTTTCAGTAGGCAAAATTGTGTGGCATTTACAAAGAAAGAAACCTAGAGCATTCTTTTTGAAGACTCACTTTTAATAAAGGGTGCTGTTTTGACCAGGAGTGTCTTTTGCTTTTCAGAACAACTCTTGGAGTTTATGCACCAGCTGCCTGCGTTTGCCAATATGACAATGTCAGTGAGACGAGAGCTCTGTGCTGTGATGGTGTTTGCAGTGGTGGAAAGAGCAGGGACCATTGTGTTAAATGATGGTGAAGAGGTCAGTAAATATTCCTCCCTTTTTAAAAGCTTGTTTGAGGATCTCTCAATTTAGCACTTAGACAAAACCCAGTTTTTATATTTTCCTTCTTAGAAACCAGCAGTAATAATTTTGAATAAAGAATTATGATGTACATATTTTGTCACAGCATTCTGAATCCATTATTTTATTTTCCATTATATATAGTATTTCATACAATATTGATAGTTTTTTTTTTATGGTGTTGCAGATTGAATCCAAGGCTTCACACATTAGGCAAATGCTCTACCATTGAGCTATAGCCCCATTAATGTTTCAGTTTTGCAACTTATGATAAATTTAATGCTTTTTATCAGGATAATATGATGTTAGGGCTATGGTGATCATTATATATCATTTACATGTGCTTTGGGGTACAGAGGAAACTCTTTTCCTATGTCACTTTTGAGAAGAATATCCAAGCATGTAGATATGTGGTTGTGTATAAATGCTTATTCTGTAAACTTCCTAAAGAGCTAATATCACTTAAGTTATTTGTTCCATCTTTAAGATGGAATGATCTACCAAGCATTTTTAGGTACCATTCTAAAACTTTCAGCTGTGGCATTGCAATTTTACTTCCTGCTTTTTCTCTGTTTTTATGTTTGTTTGTTTGTTTATTAGCTGGACTCCTGGTCAGTGATTCTCAATGGTTCTGTGGAAGTGACTTATCCAGATGGAAAAGCAGAAATATTATGTATGGGAAATAGTTTTGGTGTCTCTCCTACCATGGACAAGGAATATATGAAAGGAGTGATGAGAACAAAGGTGGATGACTGCCAGGTATAAAATATATTTTTTATTCTTTTTTTAATTTGTTCTTTATAGATATACATGACATTAGGGTATATTTTGACATACATACATGGAGTATAACTTATTCTTATTAGGATCCCATTCTTGTGATTGTACATGATGTGGCGTTACATTGGCTGTGTATTCATATATGAACACAAAAGTTACGTTCTATTCATTCTAGTGTCTTTCTTATTCCCATTCCCCCTCCCTTCCCTTCATTCCCTTTGTCTAATCCAGTGAACTTTTATCTCCCCCCCACACACACACACACTGTGTTTTAGTATCTGCATATCAGAGAGAAAATTTGACCAGCTTATTTCACTTAGTATGATAGTCTCCAGATTTCATCCATTTACTGGCAAAAGTCATAAAGTCATTGTATGTTATTCTTAATGGAGAACACTTTTATGCAGTTTGGTATTTTTCTGCCTATATTAATATGTCATCTTTAAATAAGATTTTAATGTAAAACTATTACTTTTCACCTTATGCTTCAATAAATTATGAATGTCTCTCGAACTTACTTGAAATGCACAGAACTATGTTCTGTTTTTTTAAAGGGTATTCTCTAAATATGGCATTTTAAATTTTCCATCAGAAGTTATTAATAATCTATTCATTGATTTGACAATAAAATGCATATTATGAAAAACTCAAAAGTTGATAATTAAAGGTAACACAGTATAGCTATACAATGTTATTTTAAAATTCATATAACAAAGTAATTGATTTCAGAAGAGACATGGGAGTTAATCACAGTATGAATCAGTGGAAAGACTTGCTAGTAAAATATAATTGCTAATACAAAGAAAATACTGGGTAGCAGAAGAGAAATGGCATTTGTATTGATAATATATTAATATTCTTTCTTTAAAAACATTTAATAATAGGCTAGAGAAAATATGTGAACAAATGTGAAATTTAATTAGATTAATTTAAATGGAACGTCTATGTTAGTGAGGAAAAAATTTAAGATGCTTTAACTCTTAAGTGTTTATAATTTATGTAATGTCTTCTAAAAATTACTCTTTGAAAGATAAACATTTTAATATAAATAAGACAAAAAAGATTTTATATGACTTAAGACTAATGTTAAGGGCTTGTTATATTTATTAGTCAGCATTTTGCATGACATCTGAATGTAGTTTATTCTGAAAGGACATAATTGAATTTATTTGCTACATGCCCACACCCCCATTTTAAAAAAATTTTGAGACAGAGTCTTGCTAAGTTGCCCAGGCTGATCTTGAACTTAGACTCTTCCTGCCTTCGCCTCCTAAGTTGGAATTACAGGCAATTGCCACCATGCCTGAGTCATAATTGAATTTTTATAGTGTCAGATCAATGTACAGTAGTGTAATTTATTTAATTTTAAGCATTTTGCTTAACTAAAATTAAAAAAAAAAAAAACATGACTATAAATTAAATAAGCCTTCCTACAGAATCAAAATAATTTTGCCAGATAATTACTTGAGTAAGCATCATAGAGGGGAAAAAAAGAGACTATGAATTCAAAGTTTTAAATACATAAAATATGGAAATCATTCTAAATATAGTCACTTCTCAATTATTTAGTATAATAGAGGAAAACATATGGGTAAATTCCAAATTCTTTATTTGACATGAGAATGTACGTTTAGGAAGGATTATATGTGATATTTCAGTTCTGGAATTGTATTCCAAAAAAATAATGAAGACAAAGGAGTAAAGACAATCTAGAAAAGTATTAAAGATTTCTCCATCTTGTTATATTTTACTAGTTTCTCCCTGAATCCTTTCTTTTCTGTTTGGGATTTCAATAACAGTTGAGTTGGAGTCTGTTCCTTAGAGGCCAAATAGAAGTTATTTCATTTGTGAGAGGTCAGCAGGTACATCAGTACACCTAGTTGGCTAATCTACTTTCATTAGAAATGTAACCATGGAACCTAAATGATTCTAAGAGGCATATAAATGTTTTAGAGTAATTAATAAAAATGTTATGTGACTGAATATTACAGAGTATGTACATTTCAGGTACCATTAAGTGTTTATCTTGAAGTTCTGGGAAAGGAAAAGGAGATAGATGTTATGTTAGAGAAGCGAATCTTACCTATTTACAGAACAAAAAATTAGTAGGAAATCTAGAGTGATTGCAAAGTAGACCACAACTCAAAACAAAACTCTGATTAAGATATATAGACTCCTGTAACTCCTAATGTGCAGTTCTCAAAAATATGTAGGAGGTCAAAGGTGAAGTTCCTGCTAGAGAAAACTCTGTCTTCTGCTGTGCTCTACTCCATGCCAGTGTAAAAGGAACATGTTAAATCAGAGGATTCACAAATCACTCCTGGACATTCACCAACCCACCTGTTCAGCCTGGCATTTTATTCCTTAAGAGTACAACAGGGAGTCTGGGGCTATAGCTCAGAGCACTTGCCTAGCTCTGAGGCATTGGGCTTGATTCTGTACCACATAAAAATAAACAAATAAAATAAAGGCATTCTGTCCATCTTCAACTACAAAAAAAAAAAAATTAAAAATAGAATGTAATGGGTGAATTAATTTAGACATTTTAAGTGCTTATTTGAGTTAGGATTTTAAGTTATTTCTGTTTAAATGTAGAAAAAGAAAAAAAAATGATAATTTTAGCTCTTTCTCTTGGAAACAGTAAGAACTAGTAAGAACTATAAAATGGTTTCTGTCATTTTACTGACCACATTATAGGAAATCAACAGTTATTGACTGTAATGAACGAAAGTGGTGATATGTTTTTCAAGAAAAAGAACTTTGCTTAGGATTGGCCCTAACTAACATTCCAGTGGGGTCCAAAATAAATATCCCAAAATGCAACACCTGGTTGAGTTCATGTTAAGCAAAAGAAAGACAGTAATGAGTGGATTAAATTTAATGTATATTAGGATCCCTTGATGTGTTCAAACTTGTGTTTTGTTTTGGATGATTCCTTTGAGTTCTCCTCTTCTAGTTGTTTCTCTCTGGTGTCTAGTCCTTTTCCTTGGTTTGGTGTGAAGAACAAAGTTTAGAGCTTTAGACATCCTGTGGTACCTGGTAATTGGTATTGGCTTTCAGCCTTGACCCGTGTGGTGGTTAATTCAGGAAACTGGATGAGGGGCAATGGGGGATTAGAAAAGACAAACAGAGGGCTGGGGCTGTAGCTTAGTGGTAGAAAGAGGTCTTGCCTGGCATGTATGAGGCACTGGGATCAAGGTTCAATCCTCAGCACCACATAAATATAAACAAATAAAATAAAGGTATAAAAAAATACAATAACATTATTTAAAAAAAGAAAATAAAAGACAAACACACACAAAGAGGGAAAAGGCTAGGGCCTGGTGGGCATTATGCTTTGGTAGAAATGCAGTGACCAAGAACCAGCTCAGTATGTTTATTATATAGGTTTTATCATCAAAAGGATTTCTTGAGAGAAAGTTGCTTCAAAGCACGCAGAACCAAGATTGAAGACTAATGGCCCAGTTATAATTATCAACTTCTACCCCTAATTCTCTACCTTTAGGCAGTTGGTGCCTTTGGCAGTTGGTGTCTGAACTTTAAGAACCGATGATTCTATGACCAGTACTGAACCTTTGATGTAGGGTGACATCCTATCAACTGGGCAGTCTCTCTTGGCAGTTTCGAATAGAGTTCGAAGAAGAAGCATCGCTTTAGTCACTGCTCCCAACAGCTTTTATTCCCATACATACCTCCTCCTTTTCTTTTTCCATTCTCCTTTGTCCCCTTCTTCCCCTCTTCCCCTCTTCCTTTTCTACCCCTGCACCTTATTTTTCCTCCCTTTTTGCCTTCTCTACTTCCTGCCCTTCACCCTTCAATGGGCAGCAAACACTTGGATACCTAATTTGAACCATTAGGTGTGAATTTTCCTTACAGACGACAGAGTTTGAGTTTCAATATATTTAACATCTTAAGGTAAAATGTACATTAGAATCATCACTAAAGCAATTCACAAATTTTTAACTGTCTTCATACCACTTTAAAATTTACCTGATAATTTCATGTTAGAGCTATAAATTTCTTTGATCAAAAATAAGTTGCTAATAAAAAGGGTAAATGTTTTCAATTAAGATTCATTTTTTAGATACTAGTTCTGTATGACCATATTAGAAATTCAGTTTTAAGGGTTTTTTTTCCCCCTTTTTTTGGCTGGTATTTCAGATTGTTACATATGAAATGCCAAAATGTCTATCTGGACACTAAGAATTTCAAACCAAATTCATTCTAATTTCCTTAAATCTTTAGTCAAGAAGATTAATTTTAGTACATTCCTCTTCAAAAAGGGTTTTCTTTCATACATCTATCTACTTATTCATTTTAACTCAGGGATACATTTCTTTTTTAGAAGATAATGAGAAAATGATGATTTCATTATGTTCTGTAAAACTGAATGTAAGAACAAACCCCTTAAATTTTTTGGAGATAAAACCTTTCCAAATTTCCCATTTAGAAATTGCTTCCCAAATTTGGGGAGCAATTTTGCTGCTGTGTAAAAAAGAAATATATTTTTTTAGATAAGTTACCAAGGGCTTGTAGATAAGTTACCAAGGGCTTATAGATAAGTTACCAAAGGCTGTGTATTTTAAAACGTGTACACTAATGGTGAGTATGATAGAAATGGAGTATTTAAAATTTTTAAATTCAACTATTTATATTTACTTGTACATAAAAATCCTGTCTTTTGAAGTTTTAACTTTTTACTCCTAAATGCTTAGCAGAAAAGTTAGATGATATCAGCTGACTCAGTGGGAGGAATTTGGGATTATAGTATGCTGTTTCTCTTCTGAACTGCTGCTTGTATTCACTAGTGGAACTACTGACTGCAGAAAGTGTGGAAAAGCATAATTAATAAAATGAGAGTCCCATGTGATTTACGTTGCTCAGAAATATTAATGTTTTATGTATTTTCCTCCCAAGATTTTGAGGTGCATGTATAATTTTTTAAAAAAATTAGCCAGCATGTAATGATGGAGCATTTCCTCCTCTATACAGTGGGGATGATAGTACTGCCTTCCTCATCATACGATTAGGAACATAAATTGAGAAACTTCCTGCAAGGTTACCATAATATGGGGATGGTGATGATGTTATCATTGCCGCAGTCTGGCTGGGCACAATCAGGAGCCACTTGTCAAAAGAAACTAACTTTATTTTTAGAACCACACACACCAAACAAAACAGCCTCTCAGGAAAAACCCTCAGAGCCTCAACTGCCACCACCGGCTTTCCACAAGCCTCTCTCTCCCACACAAGCTTCTCCCCACCTCCCACAATCCTCCTGCTCTTGAGGCCGATTGGCTGGGTCACGTGGGCGGAGCCAAAAAAGTCCCCCAATGAGCAGCTCCGTGGTCTGAAAGGGCAGGGAAACAGCCCAATGAGCATCACCGCAGAGGAGCCAATCAGCTAGATGTTGCTGGGGCCGAGGAGCCAATCATCAGCTGGCAGCTGGAAGTTTGCTGGGGCCCCTTCGGCTGTGGCTCTCAACATCTCCCCCTCTCTGTTTAAACAACAAGCATGTGGCTTAGGGACCGTGTCTGTTAGGCAGTCCAATTCAACATATGGTCCTTACCCGTCATCGGATGAACTGACCTCTAGGCGTCAGCCTCCTGTCTTAGGTTGGTACCACTGCAATTGGATCATACCCGTCACTGACTACCGGTCCAGCATACAGCTATACTTGTGGATAGGCCTTTGCACCAGTGGGGGGGTGAGGTTCTTTGCCTCACCTCTGTTGGCCCCCAAATTTTAGACCATCACTAGTAGAGGAGGATGCAAAATGCCATGACATTAAGCCAATTGAGGGCTCCTTTGAAAAATTGTACCACCGGTGACATCATCAGCAAAAATACCCCAACACTACCACAAGTCGCTGCACCAACAGATAGTTCACAATGCATACAGGTGAGCTCACAATGTGTCCAGGCAAGTTCTGCAAGCAGTTCAGTGATGGCTATTGTAGAAGCTGTAGATTGGTTTTATCTTTGACTTCACCAGCACTGGGATGAAGATAGGAATTCTGGCAATAATGGCTAAAGAAAAAATTATGTAACATTCCAGAAGGCACTAAAAGAAAACAATTTTCTTAACAATTTACATTATCTTTAAGAGAATTATTAAATATAATGAAAAGGAAAGGTGAAAGTAAACAAACAGATCTGTTAACCTTCTTTTTTGTTTACATATTAAAACAATCCTCAACAGTTGTTTACCCAATTTAAATTAAACCATATAAATCACGTGAAAAAAAAATTTTGGATCCATTTTATCATGAGCGCTCATCATATATGATATATGGACATACGTACATTCAAACATATACCACAAAACACAAGTGTGCACACATAATATAATACATACAACACATAACATTATAGTAAAGGCCTTATAACTTTTTACAGGTGAAATCTCCATTGCAATGTTTAAAAACTCTATAGTCAAAAAATAGAACTGATCAGCAAAACATTAACCTAGGTCTGTATGAGCTCAAAAAACAAAATAGAACTTCATGATATGGCAAAGGGCAATAATAAAATAGATATTGAAAAAAGCATCCTGGTTCTGTTGCAGATGTAAGAATAGCCAAACTGGAGTTTTGGATATCAGTTGTTATGGATTTGAGCCAAATCATCTTCTTTTTGGTCTGTAGAAATCGCTTTAGTTAATCTTTCTGGAATCCAAATCGGCTGCTCTTCTCCCTGTGGAAACACATAAATAGACCCCCGACTCCAGACAATCACTGGGTCAGGACCTTGGTTAATCTCTCTGGAATCCAAATCGGCTGCTGTTCTCCCTGTGGAAACACACAAACAGACCCCCGACTCCAGACAATTACTGGGTCAGGACCTTTCCATTGTCCTGTTAGAATATCCTTCCAAAGTACCTTGGGCTTATGTACATTTTTTGGACACATATGCCTTTCCGCAGCACTAAGTCCTGATGAATCCAAATTTAAAAAGTTTAGAGTAAAAAGGGTTATTTTAAGTTTATCTTTGGGGAATATATACCCCTTCCCAATTCCTTCTTTTTGCTTTAATAAGTACATTTTAATAGTTTGATGAGCTCTTTCAACTATGCCTTGTCCCTGTGGATTGTATGGGATTCCTGTTATATGAGTAATGCCAAATGTTGAGCAAAATTGTTTAAAAGAGGTAGAAGTATAACCAGGGGCATTATCTGTTTTTAACTGTTTTGGAACACCCACAGTGGCAAAATTTTGTAAGCAATGAGCTATAACATCTTTAGTTTTTTCTCCTGCATGAAGGGAGCCCATCAAAAATCCAGAAGAAGTATCAACTGTAACATGCAAATATTTTAATTTTCCAAATTCTGGCAAGTGTGTGACGTCCATCTGCCAAATATGGTTAGGTATCAATCCTCTAGGATTGACTCCAAGATTAACTTGTGGTAAAAAGGTCACACAATTTTGACATTGTTTTATTATTTGTCTAGCTTGTTCCTTAGTTATTTTAAAACGCTTTTGTAAAGTATTAGCATTGACATGGAACTTTTTATGAAAATTTATAGCTTCTTCTAGTGTAGAGAAAATATGTATGTCATGTGTAGTTTTATCTGCTAAATCATTTGGTGCTGATAACGCCAAGGTCGCGGGTTCGTTCCCCGTACGGGCCACCAAATGCCGCAGTCTGGCTGGGCACAATCAGGAGCCACTTGTCAAAAGAAACTAACTTTATTTTTAGAACCACACACGGCAAACAAAACAGCCTCTCAGGAAAAACCCTCAGAGCCTCAACTGCCACCACCAGCTTTCCACAAGCCTCTCTCTCCCACACAAGCTTCTCCCCACCTCCCACAATCCTCCTGCTCTTGAGGCCGATTGGCTGGGTCACGTGGGCGGAGCCAAAAAAGTCCCCCAATGAGCAGCTCCGTGGTCTGAAAGGGCAGGGAAACAGCCCAATGAGCATCACCGCAGAGGAGCCAATCAGCTAGATGTTGCTGGGGCCGAGGAGCCAATCATCAGCTGGCAGCTGGAAGTTTGCTGGGGCCCCTTCGGCTGTGGCTCTCAACAATCATTATGATTATTTTTAACAATTATTGTATTTGTGTGTGTGTGTGTGTTTGTGTGTGTGTGTGTGTAGTACTAGGGCCTCAAACATGCTAGGTGAGTGCTCTACCACTGAGCTATGTCCCCAGTCTTTTTTACATATTTTAAGATGGTCTTGCTGAGTTGCCTAGGCTAGCTTCAAACTTGTGATCCTCTTGCCTCAGCCTCCCTTATAGCTGTCATTATAGGCATGCACCACGATGCCTGTCTAGTATTACATCTTTTAAAAGTTTTCATGCAATATCATCAACAGTAAGCCAGAGCTCTAAATGTCTCTGAAAATATGGTTTTGGATGATTGTGTCATATTCTATCTTATATACTATAATCGAACCTTTATTTTTTTAATATTTTTCATGTTAAAAGAGAAAAAGAAATGTTACATTTTTCCATCCCCAGATGATTTTTGCAAATCAGAATAAATCATTCATACTTTAAAGAACACAGTGATTTTTGTTTGCTGAGGTATCCGCTCTTGTCTCCTCACTGGCCTCCAGTTATGTAATACACAATTTCTATAATTTATTCTTAACTTTATTTAAAACTACTAAGAACTTTAATTGCTTTAAGCAACAAGCTCTGAAATTGTAGTTTACTTTTTAAGAGCAAGGATTACCCTGTATAGAAGTTATAAGGAATAACGATTTGAACTATAACAAATATATGCTTTGTTGTCAGTCATCCTAGATTCCCCTCTTCTCCCTTAATGTTTTTTACTGTGAAAGAGGCATGTTAAAAAGAACTCTTTTAGTTTCATCTTCAGATTTTTTAAATTGTTAGGATTTTTATGTAAAATATATATAAATATTCTAAAATTGAAACTTTTCTTGACCAAGGAAGAAATACATTAAAAGTAGAGAAGTCTGATTAAAGTTCATTACTGCATTAATTTAGAAAGTATAAGAAAGACAGGGAAAAATGTCAGTATTAAATAATTAAAGCACTGAATTATTCGTACAGCTAGGACTTTTGCAAGCACTTTATCATTAACATGTGACTTATGTTTTATTCCAGTTTGTCTGCATAGCCCAGCAAGATTACTGCCGTATCCTCAACCAAGTAGAAAAGAATATGCAAAAAGTTGAAGAGGAAGGAGAGATCGTTATGGTCAAAGAACACCGAGAACTTGATCGAACTGGAACAAGAAAGGGCCACATTGTCATCAAGGTAAGACTGAGAACTGCCCTCTTTATAATAGAAAGGAAGTTTGGAGTAGTCGAAGATATGGCAACTTAAGATTTGTGGGGTTTTTGTCCTTTTTTAAAATTGTTCCATTTTTAAGCATCATACCTCTTAATGATGGTCATCACTTATAATAAAAAGTCTTTACATGTTCTGATTAATAGCAGTTTCTTAATTATCCCTATTACTACCTGCTTGGTTTTATGTTGAAGAGTTGAAATCAAGGTATCATATAAACGTTATTTATTCAGGATAATGATTAAACCTTTTATTTGTTACAGGGCACCTCAGAAAGGTTAACAATGCACTTGGTGGAAGAGCATTCAGTAGTAGATCCAACCTTCATAGAAGACTTCCTGTTGACCTACCGGACTTTTCTTTCTAGTCCAATGGAAGTGGGCAAAAAGTTATTGGAGTGGTTTAATGACCCGAGCCTCAGGGATAAGGTTGGAAATACAGTTTACTTCAGCTCTTAACTATGTAGTACTTTTAAAATATAAGCTTAAAGATACATTTGTCCCACCAGTTAATGTTCAAGTTAATGGAATATGAGAATATAATTTTAAGGAAACAAAAAGATAAGGTGATCCAAATATTAGTTCTTGTTATATATTTTAAAGTTTAGCCCTAGATATGTTTGTTGTTTTTTATTTTTTTTTCTTCTTTAAATGCAAAGGCCCAAAAGTTGGTCACCAAGTGTTTATATGTTGGGAATATGTTAAAATATAACCAAACATTGGGATACCATGAGAATCTACATTTTCTAATCTGGTAGATATTGTAAAAGAAAATTATAATTTTTAAATTAGCACCAGAGCAGCTTAACATTACAGCCATCAATGACTGAAGTCTCCACTAATATAATTCTAAGCAGAACCTCTTCTGCAGCTCTGGAGAAATTTCTCAAGGCCAGATTGAATGATAAACTACGTATAGTAGTCTTACCTCCTTTCTTTTACAACTCTTGATTCCTTACAGATATTTCTAGGCTTAACACTATATTTGCCTTATCTAGTCTGTGTTTTTACTTTTATTTTTTAGTTTCTGTCTTTTGTATTAACCTGTTTTGGTTTTATTGTATCTATGCTTTTATTTTGACTTATTTAAAAAATGTTTTGAAAGTAAGGTTAGATGTTAATTGAATACCTTCACAAATCCACTGTGTCTCCTGGCAAAGCAACATATAGTCTGTATTTAAGGTACACATATATTTTTTCAGAATATCATTTTTATCTGAATAAAATTCTTGTTGAAAGTTTTATTGTTATTAGTTTATTTTTTTGTTCAGTATCTTTAGGTGAATTGAAAATTAGATATCTTGTTTGAAATTAATCACTAATCTTTAGCACTAAAAACAAGGAAACTTAGTGAAACATTGTTTTTTTAGGTTACACGGGTAGTATTATTGTGGGTGAATAATCACTTCAATGACTTTGAAGGAGATCCTGCAATGACTCGGTTTCTAGAAGAATTTGAAAATAATCTGGAAAGAGAGGTAATAGTTGTGATTGTTATTATTTTTTTAAGATTAGCTTTCAGTTCATTTTTCCCTCCTGTCTTGAATTAACACCACTCTTTCTAAACCCTTATAGAAAATGGGCGGACATCTAAGGCTGTTAAATATTGCATGTGCAGCTAAGGCAAAAAGAAGATTGATGACATTAACAAAACCATCCCGGGAAGCTCCTCTGCCTTTTATCTTACTGGGAGGCTCCGAGAAGGGATTTGGAATCTTTGTTGACAGTGTTGATTCAGGTAGCAAGGCAACTGAAGCAGGATTGAAACGTGGGGATCAGGTATGATATTTCTCAGTCCAGATATAAGGGAGATTTTGGTAATTTTCTTTCAGTTTAGTCAGTAATATGCTAATTTTATAATTTCACTTTTAGATACTAGAAGTAAATGGTCAAAACTTTGAAAATATCCAGCTGTCAAAAGCCATGGAAATTCTTAGGAATAACACACATCTATCTATCACTGTGAAAACCAATTTATTTGGTAAGTATTTTTGCAGACTTTCATTTTTCTCCTTTTTTTTAAAAGTTTAAATCTTAAACAAGAAAGAAATAATTTATATAAGTAATATTTTGAACATAAGCATCAGAGTACTTGTAGTAAAATATATAAATATAGAATTCATTTTATAAGTATATAACTATATGTAAATCAAAATCTACTGATTTGAGGACCATAAAAATTATTTTTTTAATCTGTATTTATTTGATAAATGTAATTTCCCTTCTGTTGATAAATTCTAAAATACCTATAGATTAAAAGGTTTACTGTTGCTGGGCACCTATATCCCTGCGATATCCCTGCGACTTGGGAGGTTGAGGCCAGAGGATCTTGAGTTCAAAGCCAGCCTCAGCAATTTAGTGAGGCCCTAAGCAACTCAGTATAACCCTTGTCTCTAAGTAAAATATAAAAAAAGACTGGGGATATGGCCCAGTGGCTAAGTGTTTCTGCATTCTATCCTGGGTACAAGGGAAAATAAAGAAGAATGTTTACTGCTATTTCTTAAATTTACTTGGATAGAGCAACATTACAAAGTAGATTCTTGGTACTAGTCACTGGAGTAGTATTTTTCTACAGGATTTTAATAGCTGAAATCTGTATTTGCCTTGTACTCCCAAGTTCTACAATTGCCTTGGCCTTGTCCAGTTTTCTTGTAATTGGCATTTTGTGGTGTTTCTCTTTCTATATATTTTAGTGTTTAAAGAACTTCTAACAAGATTGTCAGAAGAGAAAAGAAATGGTGCCCCCCACCTCCCCAAAATTGGCGATATCAAAAAGGCCAGTCGCTACTCCATTCCAGATCTTGCTGTAGATGTAGAACAGGTGATAGGACTTGAAAAAGTAAATAAAAAAAGTAAAGCCAACACTGTTGGGGGAAGAAACAAGCTAAAGAAGATACTTGACAAGACTCGGATTAGTATCTTGCCTCAGAAACCGTATAAGTAAGTGTCCACAAATTTTTTGTGCATTATTTTATTATATGCTAAGGTAGTGATATAATTTTTGCACATTAGTCTAATGTCTCAATGTTTTAGGCTGAGCTATTTTTGGAAGTAATATGAAACAGTCATGTTCATTTTAATCCTGTTTTTGCCATTTTCCTACCCCTGATTTTCATTAGAGGTGGTTTAGAATGTTCTCATTTGAACTCCCCCCGCCCCATGAACTTTTGAGAAGGGTGTGCTTTCTATCTCCCTTAGGATTTGGAGCTTTGGCCACTGAACCTTTGTTTCTGGCTGTCTCCTCCACAGCATCTACTCTTTACTAATCAAATCACTTCTTCCGGTTGCCTCTGTTCACCCCTGCCATTCTATTTCCTCTTCACTTCTATTTTCAGTTGTTTAACCATTGCCAAGGCATTAATAACCGAGCACAAACCTCTTCCCAGTTAGCTCAGTAGTCAGAATATCAGGTGTATTCTTGAATTTCCTCTTGGCTCTTTACTTATGTGAGAGGTTCAAGCTAGACAAAGTTGCAGGGGTTCCCAACAATTCTTTTTAGCTTTGCTTATTTGCTTATTTCTTTCTTAATTTTGTCCTTGAACCTAGGGATATTTTATAAAACTCAATTACCATCAACCGTTTTTTTAATGTTAAGTAACTCAGTATGCTATGTTAATTATTATATATTCCTCAAAGTACAATAATATAAAAGATAATGAATTGAAAAGATGTAGGTTAGTATTGTTCTATGATAACTTAATGGATCTAGAGAAGAGCAATAAATACAGATATTCAGGACTGCAGCAAGCATTTCTTTTTTAAAGAAAATTACATTTCAGATAAAATTTTCATGTATAGGGCGAGATGATCGAAAATTTATTATTGATGGTTTGTATGTCAGACTTGTATTGCCCCCATTGAACTATAATGATCGGTCATTTCTAAAGAAAACTTCTATGGTAAAGTTATAAGGATAAACAGCGAATGTGATGGTTTTATTTATAGACTTGACTAAGTTACTAAGAATGAATTAGGACAGCTGGTACAGAGAATAGGAATCAATTTTTAAAGTGGCCCCTCTCGGTAAAAAAATAAACTAAGTACAGAATTATTAGGATCATAATAATAAAAAAAGATCTTAGAGTCATATTTGACCATGCATTAAGTATGAACCCCTTAAAAAATATATCAAACAGAAGTCAGCATGACCCTGGCAAGTATTAATAGAAATGTGACATGTTAGAACTGGGATGTAATACATCCACAGCACAGGTTCTTGGCAAGAATACAGTACGAGAATACTCTACATAATTTTGTTCTCTGTGTACTTGGAAAGACATTCAAAAGCTAGTCAAGGAAAAAGAGAAGAGACAATAATTAGATGTGTTGGCTTTAAAACACTGAACAACATCTTAAGTAAATATGTGGTTTGTTTAAATACTTTTTTATGAAAATTATTTGAAATCATGTATGCAGTGCAATTGAAATTGAAAAAAAAAGATCTAAAGGTGGGCTCAGCAAACAGTAGGATCTATTATATTCTAATAGATTTTATTTAATACTAGTTGCTACTTCAGCTTTTCTCTTCTAGAAATCATAATGTTCTTATAAGTTTTTTTAAAATTTGGTTTGGTTTCATTTTTGTGTTTTGCAGTGCTGCAGGTAGAAGGCAGGGCCTGTACGTGCTAGGCAAGTGCTTTACCACTGAGCTATGCCCCTTCCCTGTGAAGATTTTTAACAACACCATTGAACTAGAAAATTACAGAAATCATCTAGTTAAAATATACAGTGTTGGGGCTGGGTGAGGTGATGCACTCCCGTAATCCCAGTGGCTCAGGAGGCTGAGGCAGGAGGATGGCGAGTTCAAAGCCAGCTTCGCAATGCAAGGCACTAAGCAACTCAGTGAGACCTGTCTCTAAATAAAATATGAAATAGAGCTGGGGGTGTGGCTCAGTGACTAGTGCTAAGAGCCCTATAGTTCAATCCCTGGTATCTCCCCACGCCAAAAAATACTGTGTTGGTCTGGGGGTGTAGCTCAGTGGTAGAACACCTGCCTAGCACATGTGAGGCACTGGGTTCAGTTTTCAGCACCACATAAAAATAATAAAGTTAATGTAAAATTTAAAAAAATACTGTATTGTGTATATGTATTTTTTTAAAAAAAACATCAGTATTGTAGAAGCTAAGATGCTGGATACTAATAAATTAGTAAGGATGGACATGGAAAGATAATGTGCATAAAGAGGGAAGAAAAGGGTATGGCATAGCATTATGGAATTCAGATTTGATTTCCAGGTAGGAAAACTGATGAACCCAGAACTAAACAGAAAGAGTCAACAGACTACAAAATCAACGAAGACTGAAAAACTGTTTCAGTAACAATGAAAGAGTTAGGGAGGTCAAACAAAAAAAGTGTGTGCTCAGAGGGCCATTCTGTCTCCCCCAACTTCCTTCCTCCTTTCTTTCCTTCCTTCCTTTTTCTCTTTCTCTTTCTTTCTTTCATTGGAGGGATCTTTCAATCTTGGATGTCACATATAAAGTAGTTTTAGTCCAAGAGAACCCCTATCTAGGATAACAGAGAGATAAGTAAGTAATCGAGAAACTGTGAGAGTGAAAAGTTAGATCATCATGTGAGGTGTTAAAGTGTTGCTGAGAAACATGTGCCTGGAATATACTAGTATTCATAACTATTTGTGCCAGGAGTGTCCCAGTCATCCATGCCTTGGCCTGAGGACATAGTAATCATTAAATACCATATATATACCTAATATTTTTGGCAAATAGTGCTTTTATATGGTTGAAAAATAAAATCCCACTGATGTAGATGGGGTGTGGTGGTGCATGCCTGTAATCTCAGCAACTTCAAAGGCTGAGGCAGGAGTATTGCCAGTTTGAGGCCAGACTCATTAACTTAGCTAGAATCTGTCTCAGAATGAAATGAAAAGGGATGGGAGTATGACTCAATAAAAGAGCATGTCTGGGTTCAATCCCTAAGACCACAAACAAACAAAACCCACCAATGTGAAGATGTCTATTTTTCATAAAATGTTAATTAAAAGTGTCTTTATGTATGTACACATGGCCTATTTGTGCTTAAAAAGAAATTTAATTTTATCCTAGATTTGCATATCAATTTGGAAGAACTTATACTGCAGTTATCTTATTTATGAAGCCTTGTTTTTTATTCATTTTTTTAAATTTATATATGACAGCGGAATGCGTTCCAATTCTTTTTTTTTTAAAGAGAGAAGAGAGACAATTTTTTTTTTGAGAGATAGAGAATTTTAATATTTATTTATTTATTTTAGTTTTCGGCTGACACAACATCTTTATTTGTATGTGGTGCTGAGGATCGAACCCAGGCTGCACACATGCCAGGCGAGTGCACTACCGCTTGAGCCACATCCCCAGCCCACAATTCTTATTACACATATAGAGCACAATTTTTGTCCAGTTGTATACAAAGTATATTCACACCAATTCATGTCTTAGATACCTGTACTTTTGATAATAATGATCATCACATTCCACCATCATTAATAACCCCATGCCCCCTCCCTTCCCCTCCAAGCTCTCTGCCCTATCTAGAGTTCGTCTATTTCTCCCATGCTCCCACTCCCTATCCCACTGTGAATCAGCCTCCTTATATGAGAAAACATTCGGCATTTGGTTTTTGGAGATTGGCTAACTTCACTTAACATTATCTTCTCTTAACACCATCTATTTACCTGCAAATGCCACGATTTTATTCTCTTTTATTTCTGAGTAATATTCCATTGTGTATATATGCCACATTTTTTTTTTATGCATCCACTGAAGGGCATCTAGGTTGGTTCCACAGTTATGCTATTGTGAATTATGCTGCTATAAACATTGATGTGGCTGTGTCCCTGTAGTATGCTGTTTTTAAGTTCTTTAGGTATAGACCGAGGGGAGGGATAGCTGGGTCAAATGGTGGTTTCATTCCCAGATTTCCAAGGAATCTCCATACTGCTTTCCATATTGGCTGCACCAATTTGCAGTCCCACCAGCAATGTATGAGTATACCTTTTTCCCCACATCCTCTCCAGCACTCATTATTGTTTGTCTTCATAATAGCTGCCATTCTGACTGGAGTGAGATGAAATCTTAGAGTGGTTTTGATTTGCATTTCTCTAATTGCTAGCAATGATGAAGATATTTTCATATATTTGTCTCTTCAGGTCCTTGGACCATTTATTGATTGGGCTATTTGTTTTTTTGGGTGTTTAGCTTTTTGAGTTCTTTATATACCCCAGAGATTAGTGCTCTATCTGATGTGTGAGGGGTAAACATGGGAGCAAATGTTCCCAAGATGCAGGCTCTCTATTCACCTCATAGATTATTTCTTTTGCTGAGAAGAAACTTTTTAGTGTGAGTGAGTCCATCCCATTTATTGATTCTTGATTTTAATTCTTGTGCCACAAGGAGTCTCGTTAAGGAAGTTGGGGCCTAATTCCACATGATGAAAATTAGGGCCTACTTTTTCTTCTATTAGATGCAGGGTCTCTGGTTTTATTCCTAAGTCCTTGATCCATTTTGAGTCGAGTTTTGTGCCTGGTGAGAGATAGGGGTTTAATTTCATTTTGTTGCATATGGATTTCCAGTTTTCCCAGCACCGTTTGTTAAAAAAGCTATCTTCTCTTCAATGCATATTTTTGGCACCTTTGTCTAATATAAGATAATTGTAGTTTTGTGGGTAAGTCTCTGTGTCCTCTATTCTGTACTATTGGTCTACGGGCCTGTTTTGGTGCCAATACCATGCTGTTTTTGTCACTATTGCTCTGTAATATAGTTTAAGGTCTGGTATAGTGATGCCTCCTGCTTCACTTTTCCTGCTAAGGATTGCTTTAGCTATTCTGGGTCTCCTATTTTTCCAGATGAATTTCATGACTGCTTTTTCTGTTTCTATGAGTAATGTCATTGGAATTTTGATCAGAATTACATTAAATCTGTATAGTGCTTTGAAAGTATGGTCATTTTGATAATATTAATTCTGCCTATCCAAGAGCAAGGTAGATCTTTCCATCTTCTGAGGTCTTCTTTGATTTCTTTCTTTAGGATTCTGCAATTTTCATTATATAGATCTTTCACCTCTTTCATTAAGTTGACGTCTAAGTATCTTATTATTTTTTTTTTTTTGAGGATATTGAAAATGAGGTGGTTTTTCTCATTTCCCTTTCTAAGGATTTGCCACTGATATACAGAAATGCATTTAATTTTAGGGTGTTGATTTTATATCCTGCTGCTTTGCTGAATTCATTTATTAGCTCTAGAAGTTTCTGGTGGAGCTTTTAGGGTCTCCTAGGTATAGAATCATATCATCAGCAAATAATGCCAATTTGAGTTCTTCTTTCCCTGTGTGTATCCCTTTAATTTCTTTCGTTTGTCTAATTGCTCTGCCTCTAGTATTTCAAAACTATGTTAAATAGAAGTAGTGAAAGAGGGCATCTCTGTCTTGTACCAGGTTTTAGAGGGAATGCTTTCAATTTTTCTCCATTTGAATTTATGTTGGCCTGGGGCTTAGCATACATAGCCTTTATAATGTTGAGATATGTTCCTGTTATCCCTAGTTTTTCTAGTGTTTTGAACATAAAAGGATGCTGTATTTTGTGAAATGCTTTTTCTGCCTCTATTGGGATGATCATATGATTCTTTAAGCCTGTTGATGTGATGAATAACATTTTTTGATTTCCATATGTTGAACCAACCTTGCATCCCTGGGACGAATCCTACTTGATCATGGTGCACGAGCTTTTGGATATATTTTTGTATTCGATTTGCCAGAATTTTATTGAATTTTTGCATCTATATTCACTAGAGATATTGGTCTGAAGTTTTCTTTTTTTTGAAGTGTCTTTGCCTGGTTTTGGAATCAGAGTGATACTGGCCTCATAGAATGAGTTTGGAAGTGCTGCCTCTTTTTCTATTTCCTGAAATAAATTGAAGAGTATTGATATTAGTTCTTCTTTAAAGGTCTTGTGGAATTCGGCTGTGTATTCATCCAGTCCTGGGCTTTTCTTGGTTGGTAGACTTTTGATGGTGTCTGCTATTTCGTCACTTGAAATTGATCTGTTTAAACTGTATATATCATCCTGATTCAATCTGGGCAAACTATATGACTCTAGAAATTTGTTGATGCCTTCCATATTTTCTATTTTATTGGAGTACACATTTTCAAAATGATTTCTAATTATCTTCTGTATTTCTCTAGTGTCTGTTGTGATACTTCCTTTTTCATCACGTGAGTTTTCTCTCTCCTTCTCTTCGTTAGCATGGCTAAGGGTGTTGATTTTCTTCTTTTTCTAGGGTTTTGAGATGTAATGTTAAGTCATTTATTTGTTGACTTTTTCTTTTTTTAAGGAATGAACTTCATACAATGAACTTTCCTCTTAGAACTGCTTTCATAGTGTCCCAGAGATTTCGATATGTTGTATCTGTGTTCTCATCCACCTCTAAAAAATTTTAAATTTCCTCCTTGATGTTTTCTGTAACCCATTGTTCTTTCAGTAACATATTATTTAGTCTCCAGGTGTTGGAGTGGATTTTATTTCTTACTGTATCATTGATTTCTAGTTTCATTCCATTTTGATCTGATAGAATACAGGGTAGTATTCTGTATTTGCTAAGAGATGCTTTGTGGCATAATACATGGTCTATATTTTAGAGAAGGTTCCATGTGCTGCTAAGAAGAAAGTATATTCTCTCGTTGAAGGATGAAATATTCTATATATGTCAGTTAAGTCTAAGTTATTGATTGTCTTATTGAGTTCTATAGTTTCTTTGTTCAGCTTTTGTTTGGAAGATCTATCTAGTGATATGATGCCTTGTTTTATAACCCAACCTTGCATTTTCTTTCAAGGTGTTTTTAAAAACTAGTTAGAATGTAAATTTGTTTATAATCTAGTTATTTTTGCATCCATATTCTTATTTTTTGATCTTTGTTTTGAAAGCACTGATCCTTTAAGTAATAATAATATAGAAAAATTATCCCATAGAAATAATTTTTATATATTATTAAATCATGTTATAAGAATTATCCACTGCAATAGTTTTTTATAAATAGAAATTAGTTTGAGAAACATCAATAATAACCGGTGCTTTTCAGGGAACCTAAATGTGTAATTAGAAAATTTGAGCAGAATCAAAGTGAGTCATTGGAGTTCCATTGCCTTTTCCTTGATCCTAGAAAATGCCACCATGCACCACTCTTCTTTTATGCTCTGTATAATTAAGAAATAATACCTGTCAGGATTTCCTTACATTTGACTGTATAATAATCTAATTTTCCCCTTAAAATATTGGAGAATAAAATTCTGTTCATTCTGCTCAGATTCTTTAGTTCTTGCAAATAGGACCATAAAACTGCATCATTTTGTCACTGAACCATTGGACAAGTGGGACTGAATACATTCTTTTTTAGTATGCTTTTTCCTAAGTTCATTCCCACCAAAAACTAGAACACATATTTTCTTGAATATATTTTTTGACTGAGAAACTACTAATATTGGTTATGGGTTTTTCTAGTGAAAAAGACTTTAGAGAAACATTATATACTTAAGAAACAGGAAAGTAAATTGGATACACTTAAGCAGTAGTGGCTTTTGCAATTTTCAAGTAAATTAATGACATTTTTTACATTAATTGCAAGTTTAATGGGATGTGGCTTACTAGTGGTCTGTAATACAGCTTTTTATCTTGCTGATCATTCACTTTTTCTTTTTTCCTCAGTGATATTGGGATTGGTCAATCTCAAGATGACAGCATAGTGGGGCTAAGACAGACGAAGCACATCCCAACCGCATTGCCCGTCAGTGGAACCTTGTCCTCCAGTAATCCTGATTTGCTGCAGTCACATCATCGCATTTTAGACTTCAGTACTACTCCTGGTGAGCACCTCCAATACTGCTTTTGTTTTCTCATTGTCATCTTTTTCCATCTTTGATACCCAGATGCAAAGAGTCAGGGTGAACCTTAAATTCCAAACCTTTGGTACCAGTTCTCATCATATTCTGCAGACTGTTTTGATATGGCTACAGGAAATTTAATCTCTCTGAACTTGTTTCCTCTTTGATAGAATGAAGAATAACACATGACATGCAGTTATTACTAATTCATATCAAATAAATAAGAATAGGAGGTATATTTGAGGTCACTGTTGGGCTCTTCAATATAAAAAAGATCAACTTTAGATTAAAAATTTTCTTTCTTTGATACCCACATGACAGTCTTGTGTATGTGGTACTATGTACTGATGTGGTTTTGTTTGTCTAATCATTTAATTATCTATAGGGGAAGATGTGTTTTTACATTGTAGTATAAGAATGAAGCTCACAGACAGTTATTATCAACAGCCAACATATAAGCAGTAACTCCTCAGGCTTGCCCTGGAGAATACCTGCTGATAAAACAGTAGAGGGAGCTTGATGTAAAGTCTCAGATAAGACCCAGCTGCTCTCTTTGGATTTGTGCATTCACAAAGAGATTTTTCTAATCAATTTCTGTAATTGCATGTTCCCACATACCTGACTTTTCTAGGAGCTTCATCAATCTTTGACGAGCTCTAGTAAGGAAGAGGTCAAAGTTTATCATCTTTTCTAGGGAACTTCTTTCCAGATTACTTTGCATGACCATATCACTAAATCCTTTCTATTTATGTGGTTTTCTTTCCTCCAGATTTGCCAGATCAAGTCCTAAGGGTTTTTAAGGCTGATCAGCAAAGCCGATACATCATGATCAGTAAGGATACCACAGCGAAGGAAGTGGTCATTCAGGCCATCAGGGAGTTTGCAGTTACTGCCACCCCAGATCAGTATTCACTGTGTGAGGTCTCAGTCACACCCGAGGGAGTCATCAAACAGAGAAGACTTCCAGATCAGCTTTCCAAACTTGCTGATAGGATACAACTAAGTGGAAGGTATACGCTATCTTATTGGATTTCTTACCCGCTTTTGAAACCCACATCAGAGTGTAAGAGATGAATACTTTAAGGGTTTTTTAAGTGACTAAATATCCCGATAGATTAAAAACCAAGCACCCCACAATGAATTGCTCTATCAAAGTCAAGGTATACAGTAGACTGCTGGCCCTCACAAGGAGCTCTTAAGCACTTATTCAAGGGCACGGTGACCTGAAAGTTATTATCAACAGCCAACATACAGTCACTCCTTAGGCTTGCACTGGAGAATTCCTGCTGATAAAACAGTAGAAGGAGCTTGATGAAAGTCTCAGAGTAGATAAACCCTGCTGCTCTCTTCTCTTTGGATTTGTGCATTCACAAACAGATTTTACAATTATTTTCAGTCATTGCATGTTCCCACATACCTGACTTTTCTAGGAGCTTCATTAGTTTAGGCAGAGACATATATGACAGTGTTTTTGGCAGAATTAACTAACTCTGTCAAATCAGGCATTGTACATTGCAGAAAGCACCCCTGAGCTCTGGAACCAAACTTTAGTTGCTACAGAGCTTGGTCCCTTGCTGTATAAGTGCCCATATCACATGTTACGTGCAAGAAAACATTGTGCTGATTTTGTCATTCTTTTCAGTGACATTTTTATTGTTGGAGATATGTAATTTTGCCCTCAAACCACAAATAACTAAAAGTTGAAAAAAGTCGTTTAAGTTTTGGCTCTCATATAATTACTAGATCCTATACTGAATGAAAATTGAGTTGTTACAAAAATAACATTTTTCTGTTTTTCTAGTGGAGTGTTCCATTGTGCTTGACTTTCCCATGTTATAGATCTTAAGCTATGATTTAATTCACTCAAAATTTGTTTTATAACTTTCTAATTCCTCACTTTTATTTCCAACCTCAACACTAGTGGATAGTTATATTTTAGGAAGTTGGTTTTTCTCAATTATCACTTGAATGTACATTGATAATCTATAATCATGATGGAGTTCTTCACATCTCCAGGGAGCTGCAAATTCATGATCCACATTCATTATTCAAGAAAATTATATATGGGCTTCATGAGTAATCAAAATGGAGAGCATTAAATCTATGAATGTCAAAAGCCCAAGATAACATTTTTCTGCTATAGATGTTTTGTGAAATATGCAAAAGACCAGCTTAATGGGACCTCCACTGTTTCTTTATTTTTAGAATTTTATGTAGAGAAAGCATCTGGCCACTCTAAAAAGAGGAAAGGAAGGAAAACTGGAGGGAGGAAGGAAATAGCAAACAGCAAATACCTAAATGCTGTTTTCAACAAGTTGCTTAAAAGGAGATGCACTAGCTCTGAGTTCTTGACAAGTCATTAATCTATAGATGACTCTGTTTCCTATTCTAATAGGGATATCACCTGCCCCATTTACCTATAGGGTTTTCATGAAAATTCATATATTTAAAAATTAAAGTCTGTTTTAGGATTTTTCTAGTCATAAGATCACTTGAGTGAAATAGCTTTTAGGTTTCTTAGGAATTTTAATAAAATAAGTAAAACTTGAACTGATTTAATTTGGATTCATCAATGGTCAGATTCTCTTTTCACTCTGGGAAAATGGAGTGATGCCCTGGGTCTGATCTTTCTTGCTTCCACCTGTAGAGCCTGTACCCTTATTTAAATTGAAAAAAATAAAAATAAAAAGCTATTTTCTGTCATCTGTAGCCAAAAGGGTAGAATGATTTAGAAAGCAGGAAAGGAACAGTGAAAAAGAATTAAAGTCAGTACAAATGAAATCCCATGGGATTGCTTTCTTTCCATTTCTGAACACTGGGTTCTGTGATCTGGCAATTGATGCAGCAACTGCACTGTCCATCTTGGTTCAAAAGAATTCTTCCTTAATTCAATTCTGTATTCTCTCAAGCTTCCCCTAAAAAGTAGCTTTGTTCTTTTACAGATGTCATGAGGCTTCTGCTTAGGCTTGACTACGTCTGACACACTTCTGCTTTCACAGGTATTATCTGAAAAACAATATGGAAACAGAAACACTTTGTTCAGATGAGGATGCTCAGGAGTTGTTGCGAGAGAGTCAAATTTCCCTCCTTCAGCTCAGTACTGTGGAAGTTGCCACACAGCTCTCCATGCGGAATTTCGAACTCTTCCGCAACATTGAACCTACTGAATATATAGATGATTTATTTAAACTTAAGTCAAAAACCAGCTGTCACAATCTGAAGAAATTTGAAGAAGTCATTAACCAGGAAACATTTTGGGTGGCATCTGAAATTCTTCGAGAGACAAACCAGCTGAAGAGGATGAAGATCATTAAGCATTTCATCAAGATAGCATTGCACTGTAGGGAATGCAAGAATTTTAACTCAATGTTTGCAATCATCAGGTAAGAGGGCATATCTGTCTTAAGATTCAGTGCGTGTTACAGATTAGAAACAATCTCGTCCAGGGATACCATATAATTATATAAAATGTGGTATTTTGTAAATGACTCACTTTTCTTTTTTTTTTAAATACTATGCTGGTAATCAAACCCATGCTAGACTGTCATTGACTCATAATGAATAATTCTTTTTAAGATAACAATACCCCAAAGAATTATCAAGATTAAATGATACAGTGTATGTGAAATTCCATTGGACATCATAAAGCAAAAGCCCAATAAATGTTTATTTTCTTCCCTTTTAAGTATTTTGATTGAACCTGGAAGAAAGTGCAAATGAAAAGAATTAGTTGTTTTGATGTTAAACATGACTATAAAATTAGTCATTTTTTCTGCCTGGGAGTTTGTTCATGCTCTCATGACTACTGTGTCTTTTGGTTTATTTTCTTACTATAGAATATTTTCCTGCTCTATTTTATAAAATGCTTGCTATGTGCCAAACACTGCTATATTTGGAGGAAAAAGCAACAATACTTTTATTCTAGTGGTTTTGCTGATGGTATGTTAGTCAGCTTTCATTACTATAACAAAATAGCTAAGATGAATAGCTACTTATGAAGAGAAAATGTTTATTTTGGCTCATAGTTTGGAAGTTTCAGGCAGTGGTCATTTGCCTCTGTTGCTTTTTAGCCTGTGATGAGGCAACAGGAGCATATAGTGGAGCAAAGCTGTTCACGTCATGGCTAGGACATGAAAAAGAGGAAAAGAAAGAATTCAGGGTCCCACCAGCACCTTTTTAGGATACACCCCAGTGACCTAAGACCTCTCAATACTCCCTGCCTCTTAAAGACTCCCTCTAAAACTTTCCAGTAGTGCTAATGGAGTAGGGACCAACCCTATAGGCCTTTGGGGGAAATGTAGGATCTAAACTATAGCAGATTATAAGCATATCAGGAGATTATAAAGGAAAGAAGAATAAAATCCATTGTCTTGGCCCTGATTCTGCTTCTGTCTGTCATTCTTATCACCCAAGTTTCCTATTCATCCTTCTATAAATTGCTATACATGTAAAGCATACATGCAGATTTATTTGTCAGTAAATAAGCAGTACATTATTTTCCTTCCTTCACTTCAGAAGAGATCATTTAATTGTATCCCACTTTTCTTTTTTCCCCTCTCAGTGGCCTAAACCTGGCACCAGTGGCAAGACTTCGAGCTACCTGGGAAAAACTTCCCAATAAATATGAAAAGCTATTTCAGGATCTCCAAGACCTATTTGACCCTTCTAGAAACATGGCAAAATACCGCAACGTCCTCAATAGTCAAAACCTGCAACCTCCCATAATCCCTCTATTCCCTGTTATAAAGAAGGATCTCACGTTCCTTCATGAAGGTAAATACAAGGTAGAGGAGTTCTGCCTTCACTTGTAGAAGTAGAATAATTGCCATGTGATTTCTTTTTTCTCTTTTGCCACTTACAGGAAACGATTCAAAAGTAGATGGGCTGGTCAACTTTGAGAAGCTAAGGATGATTGCAAAAGAAATCCGGCATGTCGGCCGAATGGCTTCAGTTAACATGGACCCTGCTCTCATGTTCAGGACTCGGTGAGTGAGTCACCTCCAGTGGCACATGTGGGACTAGAGAGGTTTAGAGCTTCCCAGTGAATGAAGAAATTTTGTATATTTATATTTGCAGTATTGCAGAAATTATATTAGGGTGTACCAAGAATCACCGTCAAACTTCCATTTGGAATAGATATTCGGCATCAAGTGTACTTTTGACTATTAGTAAAAAGTTTGTCCTTTGTGGATATTTTTAACTTAACATTAATCACAGGTATTTATTTCCTATTTTTTAGAACACTGAGTTGTACAGTTAGAACTTATAATGGGTAGCATGTACTAAAATATGTAAATATCCTAAACAGGATTGTATCAGTATCCCACATAATAGATTTAGATGTCAGCTTATTCAGAAATGATTAGGAGGCAAAAGAAGTCTATCTTTTTCTAGAATAAAAAATGTAACTGTATTTGTCTTTTGAACCAGAAAAATGTGTCTAGTAAAGTGGTGCGTGTGAGAAAATATGCAGTTTAACATTGTGGGCTTCTAGAACTGCTTATCCAGAAGTCTAGTCCTTTCTTTCTGAGCTTGTGATCTCTCTGTCTCTTTCTACACCCATGCTTCAATCTCCATGGCTCTCACTTACAGGAAGAAGAAATGGCGGAGTTTGGGGTAAGTGGTGGAGAACTTGCATACCCCCACTCAGTTCTTGCTCAGCTCATTGCATTATTTTCCTACCTGCTGTATTTTCTGATGCTTTGCATTTTTTTTTTCCTTAACCCTCTTGCTCTAGCAGAATTTCAGATGGCAAACTGACTTCAAGTTTAATCTTCTGGGGCTTATGCTTTTGAAGTCATGATCCTTGAGAGCTGTGAAATGATTGATGATTGTTTTGTGGAACTATGGGCCATACATACTTCTGAGCTCTCAGAGTTTTAATATAATTTGTGTCTTGAAATAAGGAAAGCCCAAAGAAGTGGGAGGGGAAGAAGGATATTAGAAAGAAAAATTGTGCAATTTAAGTACTATTGCACAGAGACTTTAGTACATATGCATAATATAAAATGTGCCCCCTGGTGTTAAAACCAAAGTTTTCACTGCTCAACTAACTACTGTTTTCATTCTATATAAGCCAATCTTTTTAAAAAATAATTTTTAACAATTCATGTGCTAAATAGTTTCCATACGTAGATGTTTACATTTGCATGATTGTTGTATTAACAGATTGACCATATTACTATAAACACTCACCACATTCAACCCAAGAAATAAGAAAACAATTGTGAACAGTGTGGCTAATTTTGTTTGAATCTCTATAAAACACCCTTTTTAGGAGAAGTAAAAATAGTGTAAGTCAATGATTGTAGCTGTGAATTCTTGCATGAGCTTTCATATATAATTGTTTGCTGGCTTCTATGAAAGAATGTGAATGCTCTGTAGAGGAAAAAAGTAGAATTTCCTAGTTGAATCAGAACAAGTGCCAAACACATATATTTATGTATATATTGTGTGTAATTCTTTTTAACTAAAAACATTTATAAATCTGTATGATTCTATATTCCATTTAACTGTTTACTTACTGGAATGAGGCATGTGACCTTTCAAATGTAGAATATGTATATAGTTTTTGGCAGTTTCCAGTTGATAAAATAACCCCATGCTAGAGTGAGTTGCATATGTACCTTTTCATCTTTCAGGTCTCTCAGCCAGGGTAGTACAAATGCAACAGTGCTAGATGTTGCTCAGACAGGTGGTCATAAAAAGCGGGTACGCCGTAGTTCCTTTCTCAATGCCAAAAAGCTTTACGAAGATGCACAGATGGCTCGAAAAGTGAAGCAGTACCTGTCCAATCTGGAGCTGGAGATGGATGAGGAGAGTCTTCAGACATTATCTCTGCAGTGTGAGCCAGCAACTAACACATGTGAGTTTTTTCTGGAAATGGTTACAGACTCTGACTGGAATGCGGGTTTGTCTCCTGTGCAGTGACATGGGTGGTGACAAGATAAGGCCTAGTGCAGACAAAGAAGCTGCCAGTCCACAGGTACACTAGCCTTTCCCCTGTGCTTGATGAGGCCTTTGTGTCCACTTGAGTTACTACATGGAAGACAATACTGTGGACTTATTCTAGTTTGCTTTGGTTTCATTCCACCATAGGCCAGTACTCGTTCAAGAGACACAAGGGCCGATGCAGCTCCAATTTGCATTCCTTGTTTTCTTAGCAATGGGCAACCTGAGGGGTTGAGGCTTGTCAAGTCAGAGGAGCACAGAAGTGGATGTTGCACTGTGCCTTTTATATCCACAGCCCGGACAGTTCTCAGCCACAAATTTAGCTGTCATTTGAAGCAATAATTCTACTACACAGTGAGCCATTACTTAGCCTGAGGTGTATGTAGGTCCTCAGCATTTTAAAAAACTGTCCTACTATGAGCCAGTCTTGATAGAGTATGTCTGTAGTTAGTCCCAGCTACTCAGGAGGCCTAGGCGAGAGGATCATGAACCCAGGAGTTCTAGGCCAACCTGGACAACAAAGCAAGATCCATCTCTTAAAAATAAAAAATAAGGAGCTAAGAATGTAGTTGAGTGGTAGAGTACTTGCCTAGCAGGTATAAGTTCTGGGCTCAGTCCCCATCACTGCACAAAAACAAATAAAAATTGAAATCTGGCTAGGCTAGACATGGGCTGGTTCTGTTTTTATCTGTATCTGTATTTATAAAGCAAAGGCATTTTTCGTTTAGGACACTTTGGAGCCTTCTATGGACAGGTTTGAAAGATAATCTACAGAATTTAAATGTTAAAATAGATGATTTTAGAAGATTCACATAATTAGATTTACCCAGGACACTATTAGACACTTTATGTCATGATGAAGAGCTTTTCCTCTGAAGGCGGAGTGGTCTGACTTCAAATCTTGCTTATTCCTCTTATAATAATGTAACCTTGGAAGAGTCACTTTGAGTTTTCTCATCTTTAGCTTCTGAATGCGTCAAACCGGGGAAGTACATGTCATTGAATTGTTTTAGATATTAAGATTATATGCACAAAATTTGGTTGTCCTGTTAAACTGGTTTGCCTTCTGTCTACCATGGAATTATACACTTGATATAATACGTAAGCACTATGGATTATTATTTGTTTACATAGATAATTCTCCATAGCAAAATTTGAAAGTAAATATGTTACAGTTAATAGCATTTATTAAATTAAAACTTAGCTCAGATGTGTCAAAAAGTTTTGGATGTCATTTAAAAAAATAATTCCTGATGATTTTCCTGTTGTAGCCTTTATCCCATATACAATACACAATATCCGCATTTCTATTTTTATTTTTAATTTGGTGTTTTAATAGCGTAAGCATCTTTGAGATTACTAAAGATGGATATTTTAGTGTTCTAACTTCAGAAAATACTCTTGTAGTTCTACAATTATTGTCTTCTACATAGCTACTAACATTTTACATTCTTTGTACAATTTTCAAACCAAACAATTACCAGTGCCTAAGAATCCTGGTGACAAAAAGCCTGTCAAATCCGAGACCTCCCCAGTGGCTCCAAGAGCAGGGTCACAGCAGAAAGCACAACCCCAGCCACAGGCGCAGCCACAGCAGCTGCCACATAAGGCCAACCAAGGACTACAGGTTCCTGCTGTGGCCCTTTATCCTTCACGGAAGAAGGTGCCTGTGAAGGATCTCCCACCTTTTGGTAAGTGATAAAACTGAAATTTTTCTCCCCCTCCCTTTCCTCAAACATGAGTTTTATTATAATTTTTTTTAAATTAGCACTTTATGGTTATATGTAGTAGTTGGGTTCATCCCAACTTCATTTTCTTATTTGGTGCTGTTCATTGCCATGCTTTTCAGATTAGGAAAAGAGATGTCTATCTTGACTAACTTGTCTGTCATATTTGAGTTTCTCTGTGATATAATTATCTCCTAATCAAACATAAATATTCAGTAAGTTAAGCTTTACTTTTGACAGTAAGAAGGACTGTTTGTATACCTAGTGTCTTATTTAATCACATTTGTCATGGCAAGGTAAGGGAATAAAATGAACAAGTTATGCATTTACTAACTTATTTTTTTCCAGTACTGAGGTAGTTTTGTTCATATTATGACTTTTAAACTAGTTTTGCCTTCTGATCAATGAATTGCAGAAATTTAATCAGAATATTTTAAGCTTTGTCATTTGTCTGGAGGTGATTTTTTTTCTTTTTCTTTCTTTTTTTTTTTTTGGTACTGGGGATGGAACCCTGGGACTTGTGCATGCTAGGCATGAAGGCGAATTCTTATTTATTGAATCACTGATTCTGTAACTTGGGAGCAGTGAGAATACATCTAATGCCTGAATGTTAAAGAGCAAAATCATTTTTCATCTTTCCTATCAAAAGTAACTCATCTACTGGCTTAGTACCTTTATAGAAATGTAAAACAAAGTAAGTTTTATAAAATGTATTGATTCTTTTTTCTATATGTATGTAGAAGGAAACAATGTTAATAAAAATGAAGACATTTTTTAAAAGTAAATGGATAGCAAAGAGTTTGTTTAGATAAAATTAGATGGCGGTAATGAAGTTCCTGCACTCAGAGAGTTGGAAAGAAGTAATGTGGTGGAACTCTCATGGACTCTTATCCTCTTGATCAGCAAGTGTGTGTTAAGTTTTAAAGGAATGTGAGGAAAGAACACTTGACATCTGTCATCTGTCCCCTTTCAATTATTTGTTTTATTCTATCACAAACAAATCAAATTACATGTTTCTTTCTTGCTTTTGCTCTCAACAAACATGTATTCCTAAGTCCCCTGCAGGATGACTTCTGTGTTCTCTTCTGTGCTGAACTTTTTGTTTGGATCATCAATCTTTCTTTTAGCTAAAAAATAGCCTGTTAGCCATATTTAACATAATGTAAGTGTGCCTGCATATAAAGTTCTCTCCCATTTTCCAAAGAGAATATCTCAAAATACTTTAGGTCCATTTGAATTTATTTATGAACTTAAAAAATGTGCTTGAAATATTACATGTCATGTATTTAGTGTAATCTATTTAAGTAACATTATATAAAATAGTAACTTAAAGATTTTTCCCCATTCTAATTAATGAAATAATTTATTTTTTTTTTAGTCGTAGTTGGACACAATATCTTTATTTTATTTTTATGTGGTGCTGAGAATCGAACCCGGAGCCTTGCACGTGCTAGGCAAGCACTCTACCTCTGAGCCACAATCCCAGCCCTGAAATAATTTCAAAGTAAAATTTGACTTCCTTATTTCTGAAAAATAATTTTGTGGAGGGACCCACTTTATATCCTCATACTACTAGATCCTACACTGGTTCACTCTCTTCTTCTGAAATCTTTTCGTGGTCTCTGTGACACAGTGCTTTCATGAGGTGTCTCCTGCTCCTCTTTCATGTGCTTTATTTGAGTAGTAAGGGCATAGAATTCCTTTCATTGACTATTTTAGACAGTTCCTCTTAACCCTTGGCCCTTTACTTTTCTCCTATCATTCCCACTTCTCCCAGAGCTAACATTTCAAACAATACCAGAATGTTTCCATCCTAAACTTTGAAACAACTGGAGTTGAAATTGGCTGTGCCGCTTTCATCCTAATCAGATGTTTTCAAATTGTCTTTTCTTCATTGTTGAATATAAATGATGACTACTTTAAGGTTTAAAATATAAAGTAAAATATCAAAAATAATCTGTTTTTAATAGTATAGTAGCTATTGGTCAAAAACAAAACTCCAAGTATCTCATGCTCTTGGTGATCTGTTTATACCATGAGTAGTGATGCAAAGAACAGTTAGGTCACAAATAAGTTGAATCTTACTGTAATAGTAAATCTTAACACAAAAATGCTTTTTAGTCGTTAGTATTTATTTTCAGTCTTGAAAATGCATATCTCAATTAATTTTTTATAGGTATCAACTCTCCACAAGCTTTAAAGAAAATTCTTTCCCTGTCTGAAGAAGGGAGTCTGGAACGTCACAGGAAGCCAGCTGACGATACAATATCAAATGCGTCTTCACAGCTGTCTTCTCCTCCCACTTCTCCACAAAGTTCTCCAAGAAAAGGTAGAAGTATACAAGTTGCTCTTTTCCTTTATCAAACTCTATACATTTCACTTATAATAAATTCTGGAATTTTTAATATTATATTCATTTTAAATGATTCCTCATGATGTTCACTGGATTTTTTTCCCTCAGTGTATAAATTGGGAAAAATTTTGGTATTTCTTTTTAATATTATTCTTATAATAAATAGAATTAAATTTATAACTATTTGGAACTATTTCTAAAATTTAAGTTTTTTATTTGGCCAAGTGTGGAAAGAATTCTTTTACATTAAAATTCCATAAGACTAAATTTGATTACATAAATTTAATACAGAGAAGTGCTCTTGGAAAGCATAAAAAAACTTATATGTTCCTGATTTATTTTTTTCATTGTGTTAATATGGGTCTTGATTACCTTTTTTGTTGCTGTTTTTTAAAGAGACTACCTTTTAGGCAATCAAAATCTTCTCCTTATATGGATACTTTCTTATATTAAAATAGATGATAATTTTCTTTCACATAACTCTCTAGGTTCCTTCCTTCTCTTCCCTTTAATTGAAAGGGAGGGTGGGTGTCAGTCAGTAGTAAAAAGCTAAGATCTAAAAGGTTAATTAATTATAATATTTTACTGACTCAACAAATAACTGCTTTTCTTTGTAGACATTTCAGGCATCTGTGCATTTTGTGTGGGTGTCAGTTCTAGGGCCCTTGTTAAATGGATATATCTAAATTCTTTTCTCATCCTATTGTTAGGTGGCAGTGGCAATCAGCTGAGATCTTTTGGCTCCGGGCAGTTGGACTTAACCAGTTCCTCCTCTTCTCTTGGAAGTGAGAACAGTAACAAGAATAACAATGCACCACGGACCTATGGGATAGGTGGGGTTTTTAGAACCAAAAATGGGGTGGGAAAGAGAGAAATCATCTCATTAGTTGAAGAAAATGAGAAAATTCCTCCAAGTGTCAGGTGCTCAATCTAAGTGATGATTTTTCTGGACAGAGTTTTTTGGTTTTTGTTTTTATTTATTTATTTATTTATTTTGAGCAGACTTTCAGGGAAGATATAAATCTTGTTTATCAGAATTTGTAGTGTGTGTTTATAAAAAGATATTTCGTATATGAACATGTTCAATCTTTTCAAGACCTGTGTAACCTTTAAAAAATAAATCAGGAAGTACCAATTTACTAAATGGATGGAAACATACTTTAGTTGGGAGCATTTAAGTGCTCTAGAGATATACATACATACATACATACATATATATATATTTTTTTCAAACTAATATGAGATCCTTAGTCATGTATATATAGAAAAGATAAAAATAAGTACTGAGATTTGTTTTTTCTTTTCCATTAAAAATATCAAGACAAGCCTCTTCTTTTGTGACTTTCAGAAATATTTTTAGTAACAACAAGAGTTAAGGGTACTTTTGGGATAACAAATGGACATCTGTTGAGGCATTTTACAGTGATGGTCTGAGGAAAAGTACACATTACATCCTAAACAATTGACTTTTTATGTGATTCAGCTAATACATTATTAATGTTGAAGAACTGAATGGCAAAAATCCAAAGAGATATTCTTTAGATCTTATTTCTTATTCTTTTTGAAGACTATTTTCAGTTGAATTTTCTCTGCCGTACTTAACTCTAAAAGTTGAAAACAAGATTACTGATTTTACAGTTGGGGGAAAAAAATCAGTTGTTGTTGTTGTTGTTTCCCAGTACTGGGATACAAACCCCGGCCTTGGGTGTATGCTAGGCAAGTGCTCCATCACTGAGTTATATCTGCAGCCCAGTTTCCTTTTGTAGTTTAATGGTAGTAAATGGTGTAATTCATTAAGAATAGTCAAATAGTGCCATAGTTTCTGCATCTTTTCTGAGCTTCTATAATTGTGTGTGTGTGTGTGTGTGTGTGTGTGTGTGTGTGTGTGTGTCCCTCTCTAACCTTTGATTAAATGAGCCCCATCAGTAAAAATTTACTTTAATCTTTTAGTCACTTGGTCAATCAGTTCAGTGGTGATATCCATGCAATATTTTTTTTTTTTTTTTTTTTGCTTCTATTTGATGGACTTCAGTCTTATGTTGTAAACCTAGAGTGTCTAACTAATGTGGTTTTGTTTCTCATGCAGGTTATACTTTGGCTCCCAGTGGTACTGTGGATAATTTTTCAGATTCTGGTCACAGTGAAATCTCTTCACGATCCAGTATTGTCAGCAATTCTTCTTTTGACTCGGTGCCAGTCTCGCTCCATGATGAGAGGCGCCAGAGGCATTCTGTCAGCATTGTGGAAACAAACCTAGGTGTGGGCAGGACAGAACGGCGGACCATGATTGAACCTGATCAATACAGCTTAGGGTAGATGGCTTTCCTTAGCATTCTTTCACATCCCTTCTTTCATGTCTCTTTAAAGAATGAATCCTTTGTGGATTGTTAAGTACCACCTTCTTTTTGTTGAGCCTATTGCTTTTTAGTTAAGCTTCTTCTTTATTGCATGAACACTGTGGCTTTGTGTGGGAGGTGGAGGGTGATGTTTATCTGTATACCACTTCCTTGGTATAAGCTGCCTTCCTTAAGTATCCAGATGGTGTTGAACCATCCTTAACCTTGCAGGGAAAATGTTCTTCTTTAGCAAGTCATTGTTCTTTTTCTCTCTGCACTTATTTTATAGTAATGACAAAGGTAAGAAAACTGGACATGGCAGAACTGTCCACTATAATGCAGTTCAGTGGTATTTTCGGCCTCTTTCTGAGATGAGAGAAAGCTATCCTTCTAGGAAAAAAAAGATATTGAAATCATTCACTGTTTTCCTTTTCATCTGTTTTGTCCATTTAGATCATATGTGCCAATGTCTGAGAGCCGAGGCTTATATGCCACAGCTACAGTAATTTCTTCTCCAAGCACAGAGGAGCTTTCCCAAGACCAGGGGGATCGTGCTTCCCTCGATGCTGCCGACAGTGGTCGGGGAAGCTGGACATCGTGCTCAAGTGGTTCACATGATAATATACAGACCATCCAGCACCAGAGAAGTTGGGAAACCCTTCCGTTTGGCCACACCCACTTTGATTATTCAGGGGATCCTGCAGGTTTATGGGCCTCAAGTAGCCATATGGACCAAATGATGTTTTCTGATCATAGTGCAAAGTATAACAGGCAGAATCAAAGTAGAGAGAGTCTTGAACAGGCCCAATCCCGGGCAAGCTGGGCTTCTTCCACAGGTTACTGGGGAGAAGACTCAGAGGGTGACACAGGAACAATAAAGCGAAGAGGTGGGAAGGATGTTTCCATAGAGGCGGAAAGCACTAGCACAACATCTGCAACCACAGAAGAAACCAAACCTGTGCCCGTGCCTGCCCACATAGCTGTGACACCCAGTACTGCAAAGGGGGTCATAGGTAAGTTTAAAAACTGGGAGTCTTGGCACATATGGATCATGGCTGTAATCTGATTATTTCAAAAGTCAAAGTATTTTGTGGGTTGTATTTTTTTTTTTTTTTTAATTGAACCCCATGGTGTTTAACCACTGAGCCATATTCCCAGACCGCCACCTTTTTTTTTTTTTTTTTTTAATTTTTTTAATTTAGAGACAGGGTCTCACTAAGTTGCTGAAGCTGGCTTTGAACTCATGATCCTCCTGTCTCAACCTCCCAAGCCACTGGGATTATAGGTGTGCACCACCATGCCCTGCTGTGTTTGTGGTTCTTTCTCTCATTTTGTCCATTGCTTTACAGGGCTTCCAAATTAGCACTGAATTCATGATTTTTATATGAATGGTGTGGTTAAGAGCCCAGCTACATATAGTAAAACATTCAGTAAATTTTAGCTCCTAGTATCAGTCTACTGTCATTATGGTTATTACCTAATTTTTTTTCTTTTAACTGGAAAATTATCAGAATAGATGCCTATTTTTCACAGGGAAGGGATTTTTTTTTAATTGAAAATCTTTTAAATGTTGACCCTTAAATTATATTTAGAACTTTGCATTATCCTTTTCATTAGCCAAGCATGGTATGGTACACGCCTTTAACATTAGCTACTCAGGAGACTGAGACAGGGAGATTGCAAGTTTGAGATAACCTGAGTACTTGGGAAGACCCTGTCTGAAATTAAAACTTAAAAGGGGGTCATGTGTTGCTCAGTAGTAGACAAATTGCCTAGCATGTGTGAGCCCCTGGGTTCAGTCCCCAGCATGGCAAAATGTCCTTTCATTGATTTTTGTTATGTTGTCATACTGTTTCTGTGCTCAACAAATTCTGCACACTAGAGCAAGGCAGAAATTGCTTATCATGTAAAAAGACTAAGGATTCAGGCATTGAACTGAGGCAGAAAGGGTTGGAATCTGTGTTTTGCTACTTTGTAGTAGCTCTCTGATACTGGACAAAGAAGCTCTGCCTGTTTGTTTCCTCGTCTATAAAATGAATTTAGTAATCTCTGCTTTTAATAGAGTTAGTGTGAGGATGAAAGAAAATCTATGAAAAGTACTCAGAACAATGCCTAGATAGTATATTCATAAGTAACGGAAAGATGCTGCTGCTCTTCTGATGTAAAGTGATCTGGAATATGGGCATCACTTTCATTAGTAGGAACATTGTAACTATTTTGCCTTACAAATAGTTGTGAGTGGAGGTCAAATTTAATAACCTTCTAAGATAAATAAGGAGATAACAGTAGTTACAGCTTTCTGTCACTGCAACAAAATACTTGAGAAAATCAATTTAAAAGAGAAAAGATTTATTTTGGCTCACAGTGTAAAAGTTTCAGTCCATGGTCACTTAATTATTTTGGGGGCTGTGGTAAGGCAGATGGGGAGGGTGTGACAAAGCAAAACTGCTCATTTCTTGGCATCCAGGAAGCAAAAAATGTGAGAGAAAGGGACTAGGGACAAAATATTCCCTTCAAGGACATGCCTCAGTGACCTACTTCCTCCAGTGAGACCCCATGTGCAAAGTTTACAGTGATGCCATCATCTAGAGACCAAACCTTCAACCCATGAGTCGTTAGAGAACATTACAGATTTAAACTGTAACAAGAGTTAAACATATTCTTAGGTTGATCTTTGTCAGGTGTTTTCTGTTGACAAATTCATTCTCAGAATTTTTATTGAAAAGAAAGGAAGTATGATTTTTAGTTCGTAACAGTTGAGTCTAGAAAGTTCAATAAAACTTTAGTTTTACTTGCCTTTATAGATTTCATGTTGTAGGTCATAGACATTAACTAATAAAAAGATTTGCAGAAAAATAAATACCTCATAGTTTTAGTTTCAAAATTGGCATCCCTCTTTCTGTACTACTTTTTCAACTTTATTTTAATTCACTGTTTTCCAGTGAAGCCTAGAGACTTGAAAGTAACATGGAATTGACTCTTAGGTTGATAAAAGCAAACCAAAAACGGAATAGACTAGTTTGTCTCTGGGGCAGGGAGAGAGAGAAAGAAAGGTAATTTTCACCAAGTATAAACATGTTCCAGTCATAATACTATGTACCTTTTATATTCTTGCTTTGCTTTAATCTGAGCAATAAATCCAAGGGTTAGGTGTTCACCTAGTTAACACTTCTTACTATTTTATAGTCACAAGCAGCTTTTTGTTGTTTGTTTTTTATAGTGCTGGGGATTAAACCCAGGACCACACAGGCTCAGAAGGTGCCCCTAACAGTGAGCTACAGACAATATTTTCTTTAAGTAGTCTGTTTATGCTTAAACATATTTAGATTGCTAGTAGCTTCACTGACCACACAGAGGTAACTGTGGTGGATATTTGCTTTAGTTAACATCTGTTTCCTGGCCAGCCACACACCTGGCTGGTCAAACCAGAGCACATTTGCTGCAACACTGTATATGGTATTTTAATAATTATTTTCATGTTTTATAAACATTTGTAGTGTGAAGTAGTCTTCCACAAAATTCTTAACAGCTGGAACATTGTTTCTGCTGCAGCACGAAAGGAGGGCAGGTATCGAGAGCCACCCCCAACCCCACCCGGCTACATTGGAATCCCCATCACTGACTTCCCAGAAGGGCATTCCCACCCAGCCAGGAAACCTCCGGACTACAACGTGGCACTTCAAAGGTCTCGGATGGTTGCCCGGTCCTCGGACGCTTCTGGGCCCTCGCCAGGACAGCAGCCACCTGGGCCCCCGACCAGCAGCAGGCCTGTGAGCAAACCTCAGTGGCATAAGCCCAGCGAGTCCGACCCACGCCTCGCCCCTCGCCAGTCTCAGGGCTTCTCCGCCGAGGAGGATGGTACATGCGTCTTCTTAAAACCTTTGCGAGAAAGGGGAACTTGGGCTCCTGTGAGGCTCCAGGGGGATCGGTGCTCTGACCTGTCCTCAGCTGTGTCCCTGCAGAGGCCACACAAAGAAGAATCCAGGTTTAGGGTTAAAGCTTTGGAGGGCTTTCTTCATGTGAGATGTTTCTGGGTTTTCTTTGCATTTTTTCTAAGTGGCTTTCAAAAGGCCACAGATTACAGGGGGTCACTTGTAATAAAGCGTGCAGGTGACTGGATATCTTTACTAGATTTTTTTGTTGGCTTTTGTTTTCTGTGGTGCTGGGGATGGAACCCAGAGCCTCCAGCATGTGAGGCAAGCGATCAACCACTAAAATACCCCAACCTGCATGTCTTCCCTAATTCTTAGTAAAATTAAAGTACTTCTGTGGCTGTATCTTAAGGTTAAAAATTAAAAATCTCACAAGTTTATACTGTGAGAATTTAAAGGAACATTTTGAACTATAAAACAAGGATGGTGCAAGTTTTCTATGGAAAATGTCACATTTGGACTTTTAATGGGTTGGCCTACACTTGGAGATGGAAGACATACTTCTCTCTCTTTTGACTTCTTTTTACAAATTTAAAAACCTACCTGCCTCTCTTGGATCGAGTACAGGAGGGAAATCATATTCTCCCACCTTCTCTTTTTCGTTTTGTTTCCAGTTTAACCTGTTTTATTATGAAATCATTATAGAAAAAACGGGAAATACAATAAATGAACACTATTCATAATCTGCCACTTGAAGATAACCACTATTAACATCTTTTTATATATTCTTCTAGACTTCTTAATGTATGTGACTGTGTATAATCTTTTTGAATTTTTTGTTTTTTTAGTTGTAAATGGACACAATACCTTTATTTTGTGTATTTATTTTTATGTGATGCTGGGGTCGAACCCAGTGTCTCTTACGTGAGAGTCAAGCGCTCTACCGCTGAGCCACAACCCAGCCCATGACTGTGTATTATTAAACAACACACTCTGGTAGCTCAGTGGTAGAGCACTTGCCTACCATGTGCGAGGCACTGGGTTTGATTCTCAGCATCATATATAAAATAAATGCAATAAAGGTCCATTGACAACTAAAAAAATATTAAAAAAAAAAAAAAAAACACGGCACATTATGTTTTTATAACTTTCCTAAATGAATTTATTACTCATAATTTTGCATCTGATAAACAACAGTGTATGTATTGTTAATATATTTGTGGGTGTGTGTGTGTATGAACGCATGTATTATATATCAGTTTTTAAGCTTTTAAAATTGTTAATTGCGTAAAAAAACAGACAAGGGTTTTTGATGAGCTGAATATGTATACATATGTATGATTTGTTTTTATTAGTACATCAGTGATGTATTCTCTACAGCATAGGAAATTACTTGCTTGCTCATTGATTTGTTGTTTTCTTCCCTGCCTTGTTTGTAGAAGATGAACAAGTGTCTGCTGTTTGAGGCACAGGCTGTCGTGGATCCTGAGTGACCACCTAAAGGAGAGCACAAGAAGACGCCCCCAGCACTGGGGCCATGGAACTCACATCCTGAGGATGGTGGACCAGTTTGCCTCCTTCCCTGCCTTAAAAGCAGCATGGGGCTTCTTCTCCCCTTCTTCCTTTCCCCTTTGCATGTGAAATACTGTGAAGAAATTGCCCTGGCACTTTTCAGACTTTGTTGCTTGAAATGCACAGTGCAGCAATCTTCAAGCTCCCACTGTTGCTGCCTGCCACATCATACAGTATCCATTCCAAATTCCAAGATCATCACAACAAGATGATTCTCTCTGGCTGCACTTCTCAATGCCTGGAAGGATTTTTTTAAATCTTCCTTTTAGATTTCAATCCAGTCTAGCACTTGGTCTCGTTGGGATAATGAGAACAGCTAGCCAATGAACTACTTGGGGCCTTTAACCCACCAAGGAAGACAAAGAAAAACAGTGAAATCCTCTGAGTACAGTGCTTGTCCACTTGTTTACAATGTTTTTTGTTGTTGTTGTTGTTGTTGTTTTTAAATGAATTTAAAGATTGTGTTTAGAGATTAAATGTTATATCCATTTAATGATTACAGTATTATTTTGAACCATAAGTAGGGTTGCCAGCCTGGGTTTCCAAAACAAAAACAAAAACAAAAAAACCAAATATGCCGGACAGGGTGTGGCCACACAAGAAGAAGGGAAGACCTGGTTTGTGACCCTGTCTTCCCATGTCCTTCTGGCCTCACCCTCAAAGTGCCCTATCCTGGAAGTATAAAATGTTAGCCAATTACTTAAATACCAAGGCACCTCATCCACTCCTTCCCCAGTGGGTGGGGGTCTTTTGTAAAACTGTTTGCACATGGCCAGGGGAGGGAAATAGGACTCTTGTGTCCTGTGTGAGCCTTATGGAGGCAGGGCAGTGTCATCTGAGGGTGTGTCCTGCTCCATTGAAATGGATGGCAAACCCCATTTTTTAAGTTATATTTTTCGATTTTGTTAATTTAGAGATTTAGGATATTTGTGTTTTTATTTTTTAAAAGAAACATTTATAAAATAACTGGATAGCATTGCAGTGGAAGCAGCTTGGGATGTTGGAGCTAATGCCAGCTGTTAATACTGCTCTTTCAAGACAGCCTCCCTTTATCAAATTGGCATTAGGGAATAAATAAGTCTTTAAACATAATAAAAGATCAAAAGTCTGGTTAGATATGCCAGCCTTTGCAAGGTGGGTTAGTCACCAGAGACTAACCTGTAAGTGGCTTTATGGATGCTGCGTAGAGAGAAGTTTAAGTGTAGCAACCATCTGCTCACAGCTGCTATTAACCCTATAATGACTGAAAATGACCCTTCCACTCTATTTTTGTGTTGTTTTTGCACAGACTCCGGAAAAGTGAAGGCTGCCAATCTGAGTAGTACTCAAATGTGAGGAACTGCTGGTCTTGGATTTTTTTTTTCCATTAAATTCAGCTGATCATATTGATCAGTAGATAAACGTAAATAGCTTCAAATTTTAAAAGTCGAATTGCAGTGTTTTTTCACTGTATCAAACAATGTCAGTGCTTTATTTAATAATTCTCTTCTGTATCATGGCATTTGTCTACTTGCTTATATATTACATTGTCAATTTATGCATTTGTAATTTTACATGTAATATGCATTATTTGCCGGTTTTATTATATAGGCTATGGACCTCATGTGCATATAGAAAGACAGAAATCTAGCTCTACCACAAGTTGCACAAATGTTATCTAAACATTAAGTAATTGTAGAACATAGGACTGCTAATCTCAGTTCGCTCTGTGATGTCAAGTGCAGAATGTACAATTAACTGGTGATTTCCTCATAACTTTTTGATACTACTTGTACCTGTATGTCTTTTAGAAAGACATTGGTGGAGTCTGTATCCCTTTTGTATTTTTAATACAATAATTGTACATATTGGTTATATTTTTGTTGAAGATGGTAGAAATGTACTATGTTTATGCTTCTACATCCAGTTTGTACAAGCTGGAAAATAAATAAATATAACATAAAGCCTTGTGAATATTCTTAATGAATTGTGCATGCTTTTTATTTCTGAAATAACAAGTCTTTGGTCTCACTACCAGAGCTCGAACTCCAGAGGCATAAGACGCTTAACTTCTTACTTGGTAGAAACTGTCTGATAGCCTATTTCTTTTAAGGAAGCTTTCTGTTGATTCAAAGAGATTAATATCATTAATGTTATTAACACCAACATATGCACCTTCAGATTTGGCACTGTTTCTTAAGGCTCAGTGAAAAATGAAGATATCACAATATATTTGCATTAAACATTGTCTTTTCTCAACCTTTCCCCAATGAAAATCTGTATGGGACAAAATATTTTGATTCCCAGTATATGTACTGAGAAGTAGGACCTCAGAGAACAGAAAATGATTTTTCAGGTTCATGATCACTAAGAGTACAATTTAGCTATTGATTGTGAACTTCTAACTAGAATATAATATTGTTTTGTCTCTGAGGGTTTGTTTTCTGTGGTGCTGGGGAGGGACAGCCTCACGCATGCTAGACAAGTGCTGTACCACTGAGCTACATCTCCTGCCCTCTGTGAGTTCTAATGGTAAATCCGGATAATATTTCAATCTATCAAAAGGACACTTATATTTGGAATGGAAAAATCAGTTAAGCAGCAGCCTGCTTAAGTATATTTTGAGATCAAGGACTCATTTCTTAACCTCAGGCAAGGCATAAAAAAAATTATTGCACGCTCAATAAGTCTCAGAAGCTGGAAAGGAAGCATTTTTCCATTAGAAAGGTGAGAAAGGCTAAAAAGGAGTCGGGAGAGGGGAACTGCTCACTGGCCAAATGTAAAAATCTTTCTGAGGTATTTGCACTATTTTGCTGAATTTTGAAAATCTGGCCACCAAAATAATTTGAAGAATTAAAGCAGAAAAAAAAATGTTGCCATTTGCCATTCCAATAGCTTTGCCTATCCCTTTAAAAAAATGAAGTTACTATGCACATACCTGGGTTATTAGAGGCTCAATCTTCCCTTCCTTCCCTCTCTCCTTCTCTCCATTCAGTCGTCCGTCCTTCCTTTTTTTCTTCCTCCCATCCTTCCTTCCTTCCTCCCTCCCTCCCTTTCTACTGAGCATTGAACCTAGGGGTGCTTTTACCACTGAGCTACATCCTCAGTCCTTTCTGTTTTTTAAGACAGGCTCTAAGTTGCTGAGGATGGTCTCAAACTTATTCATTCTCCTGCTTCAGCCTCCTGAGTTACTAGGATTACAGTTGTACACTACTGTGCCCAGCTTTTTCTCTATCTTAAAACACATGACTAGCAACTCCCCTATTTTGTCATTCAAAAGTTTAATTTTCTCAAAATTTTTTCCAAAAAAAATAAGAACCTGATGTTTTGGAAAATAGCCTCTTGATTATCACTTTTTGCATTCTATTGACACTGAGACAATGAAAGATCAGCCATGATTTATAATCCTATTATGTATTATTGCCCTTCTGTATTTTAAGTTACTTAACCTCTTGTGGCCGAAGAACTGTCTCCAGGGTTTCAAGAAATAAGTATTTACCAATTGTAACCAATAGCAGTGACAAAATTTAATCTGTGTTACTAGTGAAACTTTGCCAAGGATTTCTTTTTTCTTTTCTTTCTGTTTTTGGTGGTGCTAGTGCTGGGGATTGAACCAGGGCCTGGTGCATACTAGGCAAGTGTTCTACCACTGAGGTTCACCCCCCATACACCCAAGTTTTAGGAATACTGTAGAAAGTTTGGGTGAGAATATGATATTCTCTCTAATCAAAGAGGTAAAACCCCTGGGTGTGTGTTTTTATACATGTAAGTTAAATCCCCACAAATATTTTTCTCAGCTTCTCTCCATTTTCCTATTAGAAAGTGTGCATTTTACTTTAATCCATATATTAATGTTTCATCTTCATTTCACTGGTAATTCAGTGTTCATAAGTGATTCTAACCTCTGAGTAAGGAGGCATTTATCAACACTTCTTAGGTCTGTGTATTTCTTTATACATTGTCACATCAATGTCATAGAAATAGGAAGCTCTTCTTGAGTCCATGATATTCTCCTTTAAAAATAGCTTGCTCAGGGGCTGGGGTTGTGGCTCAGTGGTACAGCACTTGCCTCACAAGTGTGAGTCACTGGGTTCGATCCCCAGCACAACATAAATTTAAAAAGTAAACAAAATAACTATAAAAACCAGCTTGCTCAAAAAATAAAGGTACAGGCTGGGAATATTGCTCAGTTGGTAGAGTGCTTGTCTTGCATACACAAGGCCCTGGGTTCAATCCCGAGCACAACAACATAAAACAAAGGTCATGCAGCAACCCATGAGTCAAGTTGTTGATGGGTAAAGCACCTGATCCTGTGAAAATTCACTAACAATATTTAAAGGAGCAGAGATTGTTAAAGGAGGCAATAATAGACTGGAAATGGGGAAGACAGCAACCAAGACCAACATGTCATGTAAGACATTAAAGTGAATGAAAATTTACCTAGTTGAGAATGAAACAAAAACACTGACTGGACTTGAAAAACAATTTGTGAATTGTACTTTTATTGACATACATGTTTTAGCCAAGTACAAGGCAAGCACAATAAAATTCCTGCCTCTCTGTGAGATTATTCTTATTGCCCAGTTGGTTTTTATAATGCTACTTGCTGTGTAACAGCAAAATTGATAGAGATGTTTGAAACACGGTGCAAGGTTAAAAGCTATTAGAAAAGGCTGCATTTCATGGGCAATTAAGATTATAACATGTTTTTATGATGGGAGAAATATCTAAGCCTAGAATAAAATACATGAAGTAAATTTAATGTCAGAAACAATCAATTTTATAAAGAAGGGAAGAAAGTGAAATACATTTAGCCCAGGGTACTCAATGCCTCAACAAAGCAAATTTCATTTTTTTTCCTTCAGATAATTGAATAAAATTTAAGGAAATTTCAATAATATTATCTAACCTAAATACACTGTGAGCCAGACAGGAACCAACAAAGTAAGCATGTCACCAAATAATTGAGGTTTTCCTTAATTTATATAGAATGGAATTTTTTTTTCACATAAGCCTATGAAAATTAGAATCCTGGCATTACCACTTTTGGCATTAAGAAGAAAATGTGTATAATGTTTTTAGGTATAGCTGGGGGCTCATTTCACTCATATTGTATACTTATTGTGGTGTAGCCTCTTTGCCAGATGTTGGATATTTATGGATTTTACCAAAGTGAACTGAGGCATCTCCAAGTTACATTTCCTTATTTTAGGGGAATGTTCCCCATGGCTCAGGCCCTAGGTAGGAAAAACTATCAAGGGATCCCATTCCCTTGATTGCAGCAGGATGAGAGGACATGCCTGGCTCAAGAGTTGCCAACATAGGCTTGCCAGCAATCTGTAAGGAGATTCTGGATGAGCACTGTGCCTAGCAGAGAAATAAAACCAACAGACTCATTGTGTTCTCTTTGGTGGAATTTCTGTGCAAAGTCAAAGAAGTCAGTATGCAGGGCAGGAGCCATGCAACAAGAGAAGCTACAAATAAGCAGAAATCATGAATGAGAAGCCCACTTGACCAGGTCAAGCATGTGGTTAAGCAAAGGCAAGAACAGTGGCAAAAGCTTAGCACAGCAGACAGGTGCTCTGTGATCTGTCATCCAGGCTCTGAACAACTCCCTGCAGTTTGGCTCTGGGACCTGTTCTTGTCCTTTGTGAAACTAGGCTAAAGAATGAGAACAGTCCTGGTATGTCCTGTAACTGCTCTGTTCTCGGCATCCACAAACAGTGCCTGCAGGATTGAAAATGCTTTTTTTTGGGGGGGGGGGGTAGCAGGGATTGAACTCAGGGGCACTTGGCCACTGAGCCACATCCCCCGCCCTTTTTGTAGTTTACTTAGAGATAGGGTCTCATTGGATTGCTTAGCGTCTTGCTTTTGCTAAGGCTGATTTTGATCCTCCTGCCTTAGCCTCCCGAACCACTGGGATTACAGCATGTGCCACAGCACCCAACTGGGAAGGTTTTTAATAAATCAACGTGTGAAGCAACTTCATGTGCCCAAATGACATAGATTAACTGGATACCCGAAATCGGCCAATGCATTTATCAGGCATCAACGGTGCTGTGTTTGTTGTGGTTAATATTCAGAAGTAAAAATATAAATCTTAACCTAGCAAGGCTTTGAGATTGACCAAAAGGAGCAAACAATAAAGAACTGAGAATTCAATGATGTGTGGCTACAGAAATTCACAGGGGTGAAAACTCAATACAAACTGAACTATCCTTAAGAATGTGTTAGACAAAATACCTGAGATAATCAATAAAAGAAAAGGTTTACTTTAGTTCACAGTTTCAGAGATGTCAGTCCAGGGTCACTTGGCTCTGTTGTTTTGGGCCTGGGGTAGCACAGTACATCATGGTGTGAATGCGTGGCAAAGGCGGACTGACTACCTCAAGGCAGCCAGGAAGTGTGTTGGGGGCGTTGGGATGTCAATCGCTCAATATCCTCTTCAAGGTCACACCCCACCCGACCTAACTTCCTTCCACTGGGTTCCACCTCCTCCACCTTCCAGAAGTACCACAGACTGTCGATGAAGTCTTTAACCCATGGGCTTTGGGGAACACTTCGGATACAAATTACAGCAAAGAAACTTCAGGTGTACATCACAGTGTCAATAACACATACGATGAACAAAGCAAGTAGGAAGTGGTACAGGCATGGCTATGGGACAATGAGAAGATGTTTGATTAGAAGATACTGAGAAACTGGTTGGAATAAGTAGGGGAGAGAGATTACCTAGGACAAAATGTTTACACAGAGGTTTTATTTATTCAGTTTAGGGGTCTATAAATGCTCATCAAAGAAAAAAAAAGAAGGAAGGCAAAGAGAGAGGGAGAATCTTTGATGAGATATGGTATGAAAGGATGAATTGATCTGGCAGGATTATGCAGGATGGAAAGATGAGATGAGGGAAACAGTGAGCTGGGAAACTGCTGCCATAATACAGGCCCAGGCTGATAAAGGCCCAGAAAGTGTGGTATCAGGGG